CTGCCTCTACATTTGCTCAGGAAGTCCTGGCCTACCCCTAAAGCTCAGCTTTTCCTGCCCCAGACTGTGTTTAGGCCAAGCACCCTGTCTGCTCAGCCAGAAAATTGAGAAGCCCCTGACCCCACGCCCACCCCTGCTGCTCTGGAGTGGGGGGTTGACCCCCTGCCAGCCCCGGCCTGATGCCTCTAATTGGTGGCTCCTTTGCAACTTCCCAGTTCAGATGAGTTGAGTCACTGCCCCTCACCGCTCCCAGCCTCGGGCTTCTGACCCAGACCTATTCCTCCCTGCCTCCCCAGCATCTCCCCTGGCCTCCTCCCTGCCTGAAGCCAAACCTCTCCACCTGTCCTCAGGGGCTTCGCCGCAGGTAGGGCGGCCGATTCCCAAGCCCCTCCCCAAACACCACTGGGTCCATCCCACTCTCCCCAAAGCAGGAAGTAGGCAGCGGAGGCAGTCACACGAGGTGTTGATCAAGACGGGTGCTGACGCGGTTGTTGACATCCCGGTCCTGAGGCGAACCCCACCCACTTGGCCCAGGATCCGAGGGTCAGGAGGTCAGAGCACCTTTCCCACGGGTGCTCTCAGCAGGCCTCCAGACCCCTACACCAGCCTTGCCTTACCAGCTAGCTGCAAGGCTCCAACTCTGTCACTGCCCTGGACGGGTTCTGTCGGAGCCCCCTAGTTCCTTCGCTCCCTCTTCACCTTCTCCTTAGCTCCTGAGGACCAAGCTTCTCAACTCGGGCCCCCAACTCGATGTGCTGACTCTGGCATTCTCCAGACAAGTGACATCCCCCTCCTCAGCCTGTTTCTCCTACTGTGAACTGGACGCAGGGACCCCCCCCCCCTTCCCACCCAGCTTCTGGCTCTGAAGCCGATCAGTCGCCTGGAAAGGGCCTGACTCCCACAGCCCCTTCGCGCCCTCTGCCCGGTCCCCCAGCCTGACCCTTTAGCCAGGATCCTCAGGTCTCTGCGCACAGCTCCCCCGCTTCCCGATCTTGGGCCTCGTTCCTCACCCAGATCTCCAGGTGGATATCCCGCAGGGCAACACTGCCCTTGTACAAGTCGAGGCTGAGCTGATCCAGGCTGAGGTGCTCCTGGAAGAAGTGACCCAAGTAGTGGTGCAGCAAGTAGCGGCATACCCGCTCTTTCACACAGTTCGACCATGGCCACAGCCATCGTGACATCTCGGAGACCGCCGGGCCCAGGCCGCCTCCGCTCGCCGACCGCCGGCGATCCCTGTCCGGCTTCGCTGTTCACTAGAGCCCCGGGCTGTCCCCGCCGCTTCTCTCAGCGCCAGGCCGCGCCCCCGGACCCTCAGCCACGCCCCCCACGCTCACTGCCATTCGCCATTGTAAAGGGCGAGGCCTAGTGATTGGCCGCGGGGGGCGGAGTCTTCGAGCACGAAAAAGGGACTGGGCTCTCTGCATGATATAGTGCTCCCAATCCTGATTTACGCCTGCGTAAAAATTCTGCGGGGGCGAACCTTTAGCCTCCCTTCTACGGGCTCTGGGAAGGCTGCGGCTTGAGGTGCCAGCCCCGCGGAGGAACGCGCATGTGCCGACTGGTCCACCTCCTCGAGGTAGTTGGGGAGAATTTAAAGGGACAATGTCTCATCAAACTTAATCGGAAGCTCCCCAGAGGAGTAAGAGTCTGTGTGAGAGCTCCAGCACGCGTCGTAGAAACAATTAAGTGAGTAAGCATTTGCATTTTACAAAACGCTTTACCATCTTTTATCTCATGCAACCCTTCTAATCCTCTAAGGTGGCGATTTTACAGATAAGAAAACCATCTTACAAATAAGAAAGCAAATTTGTAAAGGTTGCTGTTAAGTCCATCACCAAGGAAATCTTTTTTCACCCCTCCTCACCTGGAATGCTGATCAGGACATTTACCCACCCTCCCTTCTCTCTGCTTTTGGTCAGGCCTCCAGCTCCTCTGAAAAAAACAATGGTTTTTCTTATCTCTAACCTAAAGTTAATAACGAAAGGATTTTAAATCCCTTGAGCAGGGGTCTATTGTTTTTGTACAATTCTTATTTGCTTTTTTTTTTTTTTACATTTTTAAGTAGTTGAAAAAAATCCAAAAAATAAGATTTCATGACACGTGAAAATGTCATAAAATTTACATGTGAGTATCCATAACGTTTTAGTGGAACACAGCCACACTCGCTTGATTAAGTACTGTCTGGGGCTGCTTTCTTGCTACAGCAGCAGAGTTGAGCACTTGGCGCAAGGGGGGTGGGTAACTTCAAAGCCTCAAATAATTGTTTTCTGGCCATTTACAGAAAGTTTGCCAACTCCTGCTCAACAGGGTTGGTCACCCAAGCCCTCTTACATCCTGGGTGACTTAAAGGATACCCACAGGTAATTATAATCCTATTTTAGCCTTACAAGGGAGGGGGACTCTACTGCAATCTAATGCTAAAAGTCAGCCTGAAGCAAGGGCAAACACCCTGGCCTGAGGGGCAGGGACCTGGAGTCCAGTCCTGTGTGGCCTAAGGCAAAGTCACTGTTCCTCCAGGAGCCTGTTCCTATCCCCTGTGACCTGGGGTTGGGTTAGTAGGTGGTATAGCTCATTTACTTGGAAGGGACTAAGGAACAAACTCAAAAGAGAATCTGGGGAAGCCCTGGGAAGTTTCCATTCAAGGAGGCAGGCTAACAGGGAAATGCTTGTGGAACGAATCAAAAAAGATCAGTCTTTCCCCATGACAGGCCAGGGGCAGTGTTGTGTTCATCACATGTTTATTAAATTAATAATAATTAAAGTGATAGACACCATGAATTGAGCCTGTGTGATGTCCTGGGCCATGGGCTTGTCACTTTATAGGCGTTACTTCATCTGCTCTTCACCACACCCTTGGAGGGAGGTACTATTAATATCCCCATTGTACAGGAGAGGAAAACTGAGGCTGTGTGTCTAAGAGCCTATGGAGCAAGTGAATGAACAAACATCACTTCTCCCAAAGGCAGTGGGGATGGAAGGGTGTATTCTGGAGTCTAGGGAAAGTTGTCCTGATGTCCAGACTAAGAGAAGGGGTCATTCCCTTGCTGTGAGAATGGGGTGCATCATGTACAAAGCTTGGGAACACAGAGCCATTCTCAGTATCCAGGCCCCCAATCCGGGTGGCTGCTTCTTGGGCCAGCTTCCCTCCAGTGAGGCTGTACTCACGTCTGTGACATAGCACAGTGTCTGCACCACAACGGAGGAAAAAAACAGGACTCAGGGGCACAAAAGTCTTTCCTGCTGCCTCCCCCAGTGTGCCATGAGATCCACAGAAGACCAACTCCAAAGACCTAGTCATTCCACAACCTGGCCCGGGCCTTGGAGCAGGAGCTGAATGGGAGAATAAAAAATACAGAGTAAGGAGAATGGTATGTTCTCAGGAGGGAAGGTGGTGTGGGGGCCCCTCATATATTTCTGGGATGAAGACCCGGGCCATGGTTCCTCTCCACAGAGATAAAAAGGGGGGAGGGTCAGGCTTTGTGGGGCCTTGGGGGGAGGCTCTCCCTTTCCCAGGGATGGTCCACCCCGAAGAAGCCCCTCAGGGAATTCCCTTCAGTGGCCTTTGGATAGGTGTGGAAGGGATCATGGAAGGTAGCCTGGGGGCTGTGGCTTTTGACTTGATCCATGGTGGAGGGCCTGGATTTTGCATTTTGTCTAAATTGTGGTAAATTACACATATCAAATTTACCATCTTAACCATTTCTAAGTGTACAGTTCAGTAGTGTTAGAGATATTCACATTTTTGTGCAACCAGTATCCAGAACTTTTTCATCTTGGAAAACCGAAACTCTGTACTCATTAAATGACAATGCCAAAATGGGTGAACTGTGTGGTATATGAATGATATCTCAATAATGATGATTTTAAAAAGGAATTTTTACCCAATACCCCCCAGGTGACACTGTATCTATCTTGAGACCCAGTTCAAATGCCACTGCTTGTAGGAAGTCTTACGTCTTCCACCATTCAGGCCCCCAAATCCTCAAATGGAGCACACCCTTTCTATAAAACATGAACCCTCCACACTCATTCTGGCCTGGAGACCCTCAGAGTTCAGGGCACTAGCCTCCAGGGAGCCTAGCGTGGGAGGCTGGAGCTGGTGCCCTCCTGACTCAGGCTGGGAGACCTGTGGTCCTAGCTTTGCGACCTTGGGCAAAGCACTTCTCTTCTCTGGGCCTGGGGGTTCTCACCTGGCTGGAGAAGGCTCTGTGGGCCTGCTGTCCCCCAGCTTTTTCTGCACGGATGTGGGACGGGCTTCACTTTCTGAGCCTGGGAGGTAGGCAAGGAGGAAATTGTGGGTTTTCATTTGACAGATAAGGACACCAAGGGCAAGGCGGACAAGGCCGGCTGAAGATTACCAAGCAGGGGGGCTTCTGGCAAGCTCCTCTGTCGTAGAGCCCTTACCCCACCTGGCTAAACTACGGCCTTTGCTTTCTGTTGCTCCAGCAGGTGGGCACCTCTCAGGGAAGATGGCTGGGTGGTCACCAAGGCTTAAGGCAGGGTAAGAAGACTCTGAAAATGGCCCCAGTCCCGTTCCCGACCTCAGTGTCCAAGTCTCATTGCCCGTTCCTGCTGTTTACATGAACCAGTTAGTTGTTCATCCCAGGCAAAACTTCTGGGTGGAGATTTCACAGTGTAGTGTAGGGGATGGAGTTAAGAGATATAAAGGGTGTTGGGGTCCAGGGTCCTAAGAAGGAGGCCCGAGACTGTAGGCCAGGAACTTTTGTCCAGAATGCCAAACTCCTGGAATCCCAGCTGTACCTTGGATGCCCTGCAGTAGAATTTTGAACCAGAGACCCCACTATCACATCTTAGGGCCTAGAGGGGTGAAGGGAGGTCTGTCCAGGGAGGCCAGCTTGCCTGGGGTGGGATGGCACGCCAGGGAGCACCCCCTGCTCGGATGCTTTGCCATATCCAAGCTGGCCCTTTAAACCCTACACCATGATGTCACCATAGACAGCAAGGGATGGGAGGGGGACTGCAGGCCTGAGGGCGGACTGCATTTCCCAGCAGTCTTGGGTGCACCACACCTCTCCCAGCAGGCACTGGTTCACCGCAGACTATTTAACCAGTTCAGTGCCCGTTTCCAAGTGGGTTTGAAGTGTCCGGCCATTCTGGGGTGAGGGTGGGATTCCGCCGCGGGTGGAATGCCTGGGGCACAGATGAAGCGGGCCAAATCTTTGGGCCTGGTATAGGATTGGGCCTCTCTCCCGTCACGGTCCTGGCCTCACCCCCAGCTTCCTGGTGCAGACTTCCGAATCCTCTCTTCCGATGCAGTCTCCTTTCTAGAACGTGGGAGCCTAGCCCCAGTTGGACCCCATCCCGCTCTGCTTAAGCTTTGACCCCAGGCCCCTGCAGGGGTTACCCCTTTGGTCTGGCATCCCCCTTTAAGCAGTGCGGGGACTACATCTCCCAGTGGCCCTGGGAACTTTCTGACGCAGCACCCCCCTCCACCACCCCCCACCCCAGCCCTCGGGGAGGTGCGGGCCGGGCGGGGGGAGGTGACTTGATGTCATCCTGAGCAGCTGGGCGGCGGGTGCCGGTGCGCACAGAGCCAGGGCTCCCGCAGCGCCGCGCCGCGCTGGGTCGGGTCCCAAGACTTGAGGAGAGGTCTGCACGCTGCCGGGGTAGCCCAGAGCGCACCGGACGCCCGCACCCCGAACTGGGGCTGAGCTGGGGGCATGCTCCGGCTCTCCCGGAGCCCGAGAGAGAACCCAGGAGCGCCGCCACCCAGAGCCAGCGCCCGGAGCGGAACCGCTGCGAAGGAGACCTGAACAGCCGCCCCTTCCCCACCTGCAGCCCCCGGTGGTTGGGGACGGGAGTCTGGGCTTCTGAGAAGTGAGTGTTCCCCCCCACCAGGAGGCAGATGAGATTTGGGGGGCGAGGAAGGAGGAGCTGAGGTGGAGGAGGTTGCCAGATTTTAGGAGGGAGGGGTGGCGTGGGGATAGGGCCCCCATTCTTGGGGAAGTCGCTGGTGGCCTGGATTAGTGGAGCAGAAGGGGGCCCCATTCTTTTAGGGGCCAGGGATTAGGATGGGGTTCCCCATTCTGGGGTAGGGGCCGGTTCGGGGGATAGGCCCCATCCCAAGAGGGGTTGTTTTGGAGCCTGGGATCTTAAGGTCTGGGAGAAGGGTGGGACATGGCTCCTGTGGGAAGAGACTGCACATGTATTTAGGATCTGAGCGAGGGTAGGAGGGAAAAGAAGACTTGAGCACTCGGACTTGGGCAGCCCCACACACTGTCTTTCTTGGAAGAACTGACAGGCTCTCTCTGTTTCTTTTGCTGGTCTCTCTGCCCTGACTGCATTTTCAAAAGAGCCAGGGTGAGAACCCTAACTGGACTCTTCGGGACCCCCAGGAAGGACCTGAGGCCTGAGCCATCCTCCTCTCTACTCTGCCTGCCCCCAGGACTGGGCAGTTGCCGAAGGCCCTGGCGGGGGGGGGCCCAGACTGTGGTTGTGTGCCCCCCCCCCCCCGCCAGGATGGGCCCAAGTTAGTCAGCCTCACCCCGTTCGGCATCCTCCAGGCCCAGAGGGAACCCCAGGGGCTCTGAAGGCTTGACCCACCACCTGGCCACCATGGAGACAAAGCTGCCCCCTGCAAGCACCCCCACCAGCCCTTCTTCCCCAGGACTATCTCCTGTGCCCCCACCCGACAAGGTGGATGGCTTCTCCCGCCGTTCCCTCCGCAGGGCCCGGCCCCGGCGCTCCCATAGCTCCTCCCAGTTCCGCTATCAGAGCAACCAGCAAGAGCTCACTCCACTGCCGCTGCTCAAAGGTGAGCCCTGCTGCTGGCTGCCAGGGTACCTGAGTCCCACAGCGGGCAAGCAGGGCTGCAGCGTGTAGTGACAAGCCCTGGCAGCTGTGATTAGAGGGTTTAGATGGCCCCTTCCAGGCGAGGGACTCCACCACTGGAGATGACCCCCACCCCCCAGGCCTCCAGCCTTCTCTGCTGACGCATGGCCTGACTGGCCTGTCATCCTTGGAGGTGGGGCATCTGGAAGTGGCGCCACCCTGGGGGGCAGACCAGGGCCAAGGGTGGGGCCCAGAGCCTGGGTTCCAGGAGGCCACTGCTAGGGTCCTGGAGCAGGTGCTCAGCATGGCTCCCTGTGATCACCATGTAGTCTCCCCACCTCTGGGTCACAGGGCCCTCAACTGGCTGAGCCAGAGAGCACCCAAGAAGTCCTCAGGCCCCACCCTCCTTCTCATTTCTGGCTCTTAGAACAGAGCGCCAGCTATGAGAGGGAGGCATGGTGGTTTCGGGCACCTGTGGAAAGCCCGGGCATCCAGGGTCTCTTACCTTGCTTTAAGTCAGGCCATCATGCTGTCTGAGCCTGGGTTAGGAGGAAGAGATGCAGCTCCTTTACCCTGCAGGAATGGAGGATGGGACAGGAGTCGTTTGCTCCTTGCAAAGAGTGGGGGATGTCACAAGAGCAGGGGGCCTGGGGGCAGGGGAGGCTGCTCTGTGGATTCGGAGGGCACACCGATGCCCAGAGCCGTGGTAACTGGGGCGCGGGCTCAGCCTCCTCCCTTCTCCCCAGATGTGCCAGCCTCGGAGCTGCACGAGCTCTTGAGCCGGAAGCTGGCCCAGTGTGGGGTGATGTTTGACTTTTTGGACTGTGTGGCTGACCTGAAGGGGAAGGAGGTGAAGCGGGCAGCACTGAATGAGCTGGTGGAGTGTGTGGGGAGCACCCGGGGGGTCCTCATTGAGCCTGTCTACCCAGACATCATCCGCATGGTAAGCACCTGGCCCCTGACCTCTGGGGGAGGGCTTGGGGGACATGGAACCCTACTGACCTGCTTGCGGTCCTCTTCTTCTGCAGAGAATACCTGCCTCTCTCTGGCTTAGCCTCAAGGCCCCCATCTTTCTCCCCTCCCCCCATCCCCCAGCCCCACTGCGTCTGGCCTGAGTAGGTCCCTCAGTGCCTCCTGGGCCTGACCCACCCTACACTTGGGCTTATGCTCTCCTGAGGCCTGGTGTGCACTCCCACCATGCCCCTTATTGCCATGGCCTGGCTCAGGTGCTGCTGCTTCCGTGAAGCTTCTCAGTGTTCGAGCTAGAAATCTCCTTTGTGCTGACTAGAGTGTAGACCTTACCACTTAACATCTTGTCTTCCCTGCTGGACTGTGCCCAGTAGAGGGCAGGGATGTGTCTTGTTTATTTCTGGGTCCCCAGCACCCCCCCCCCCCCGCCCCCGGCCCAGGGCTTCCGTGTGTTCAGGTAATGATTGATGAGGAGTGACTTGCTTGCAGAGGCAGGTGCTGAGGCTCATTAGAACTTTGGATAAGAGACCTCCTGACTTCTGCCTTTGAGGGCTCTTCCTAAAAGAACCCTGATCCTGCCCTTCAGATCTCAGTGAATATCTTCAGGACCCTACCACCCAGTGAGAACCCTGAGTTTGATCCTGAAGAGGATGAACCCAACCTGGAGCCTTCCTGGCCACATCTGCAGGTGTGGGGGGGGGAAGGCAGGACGCTGAGTTTCAGTAGAGGGGAGAGGGTCAAGGAGACTGGCAGAAGGGGGCCATACGGCAGGGGGAGGAGGGAGGCTGTTCCTGAACTCACCTTTTTGTCTTGCTCCCTCTCCCAGCTGGTATACGAGTTTTTCCTGCGTTTCTTGGAGAGCCCAGATTTTCAACCCTCCGTGGCCAAGAGATATGTGGATCAAAAGTTTGTGCTGATGGTGAAGTGGGGAGCCCAGGCCGGGTGGTGCCGTGGGACAGGGGCAGGCTCTCTGAGGGGTGTGGGGATAGGATGGAAGCGACCTGGGCTTGGCCTCCCCCCCTGACCCCTGACCCTGGGTCCCCTAGCTCCTGGAGCTATTTGATAGTGAGGACCCCCGGGAGCGTGAGTACCTCAAGACCATCCTGCACCGGGTCTATGGCAAGTTCCTGGGGCTCCGGGCCTACATCCGCAAACAGTGCAGCCACATCTTCCTCCGGTGGGTGCCTGCTGCCTGCCCAGCTGAGACCTGGGGAGGGAAGGGAGAGCTGTAGGGGAGAAGATGGAGGCAAAGGCTCCCGTGAGGTCAGCAGGGCAAGGGTATTTATTTCCATTTTACAGATGAGGAAATACAGACTGAGAGAGATGGACTGGTTTGCAGGGACTAGGCCAGTCCTGGGGGCCTAGGATCAAATCTTCTGACCCTTATTGTGCTGAGCCATTTAAAGACCCAAATAAAAAGATTCTTTCTGCAAATGTGTATTGAGCAACAGTGCCCACTGGGCATAGGGGCCCACGTGGCCTTGTAGTTGAGATTGGCTTTGGAGCTCAATGGCCTTTTTGAGTTTGGTTCAAATGTTTCAGTGAACGTGGGCAGATTATTTCAGTTCTCTCATCTCTAAAACGGGAATGATAGCTCTGCTCACCCCGGGACAGTCATCAGGGTGAAATGAGACAATGTCTCCAAAGCACACAGTATGTAGCTCTTTGACCAAGGCTGGGACTCTGAAACATTAGCTCTCGCTCTCGCTCTTGCTCTCTCTCTCTCTCTTTTAATATTTTATTTATTTATTTGACAGAGAGAGACATAGCGAGAGAGGGAACACAAGCAGGGGGAGTGGGGGAGGGAGAAGCAGGCTTCCCGCCGAGCAGGGAGCCCGATGCGGGGCTCGATCCCGGGGACCCTGGGATCCTGACCTGAGCCGAAGGCAGACGCTCAAAGACTGAGCCACCCAGGCGCCCCTGAAACGTTAGCTCTTATGGTATTGGCGTACAAAATAGCTGAGAGAGATCCCTGTCCTCCAGGAGCTCCAAGTCCATTAGAACCCTTGCTTATTAACTTTGGGGGCAGGTGCCATTGAACTGCTGAACCTCGATTTCTTCATCTGTATAATGGATCTAATAAGCCCTATCTCTCATTATAATTTTGAGAAGTACGTAGCACAGAGTAGGCGCTCTAAGTGTTTGTCATTCTTTCAGTTGAAAGGCATGAAGAGTGAAGGATGCAGGCTAGGTGCCTGCTGACTGGATGGGGGCCAGAAAGTGAGAGTTAGGGTCTGGGGGAGAAAGAGACAAGTTAGAATTCCTCATAGAAGAGGAGTTTGAGCCCCAGTGCCTGGGCTGAGGAGGGTGATTCAGAGGTGGGCGTGGATCTCAGTGGGGCCTGGTTTGGGAAGGGAGCTCAGCCTCTGGGGTTGGGAGAGAGTTGGATTAGTGTGCAAGGTGGGGTGGCGGGTAGGATGGCTGAGGGAGACGGGGCCTGCTGTAATTGCTCTGAGCCCTTCTGCATCCTGCTCTTCTTCTCGCAGGTTCATCTACGAACTTGAGCACTTCAATGGTGTGGCTGAGCTGCTGGAGATCTTAGGAAGGTGACTCTCTGGGCCTTGGCTGGAGCATCAGGATTCTGGGAGCAAAGACTGAGGCCCGGTCATCTGAGCCCTCCTCCTCTCTTCTGCCCCCTCCTCAGCATCATCAATGGCTTTGCACTGCCCCTGAAGACCGAGCACAAGCAGTTCCTGGTCCGGGTCCTGATTCCCCTACACTCTGTCAAGTCACTGTCTGTTTTTCATGCCCAGGTAAGGCCCAGGCCTGGCCCTGCCGCAGCAGAGAGATGCCGACAGAGTCAGGGCAGCCGTGGGGTCAGCCCAACACTCTGCTCCAGCCACACTAAGTCATGAGCTCATGGGATCCTCCCTCACCTTCTTTTTCTTTGCTAATTCTGTTCCATCCACTTTAGATCATCTCCACAGCACTTTAAGGCTGATCTCAGACATCAGCTTTGTGCAGCCTTCCCAGCCTTTTCCGTCCCGGCCTGCCCTAGGCAGGATTAAACTCTTCTCTTTCCATATTCCTGTAGATTGTGATGTAGATTTCAATTATGGAAACTTTTGTGAAATTTATAAGGGCGAGTTTGCAGCATGTTCCCCCTGGGGGCACGTGGTTGTGTCCCTGCACACAGAGCGTGGTGCCTGGCACATCCGAGGTAGTCGGCTGGTCAGTAAATGTTTGGTGAATGAGAGAGGAGACACAGTGAGGGAGCAAACACCTGGTGTCCTGTCGTGGTCCCCTCCTGACCCCAGTCTTCTTTCTCTCTACCCCCTCCCCCGCTCAGCTGGCCTACTGTGTGGTGCAGTTCCTGGAGAAGGATGCCACCTTGACAGAGCACGTGAGTACCTCGGGGCGGGGCGGAAGGCAGGCCTCACCCCTGCAGGTCTGACTCCTTTCTGCCTCAACTCCCACAGGTGATCCGGGGGCTGCTGAAATACTGGCCAAAGACCTGTACACAGAAGGAGGTATGAAGAAGGGCTCTGATGTCCCCCAGAGGGGGGTCAGGAGGGCTCTGGTTCCAGAGGGCAGCCAAATGTGTTGGGGCGGGGGGGGGAGATGGGAAGTGCTGTCTCCCGTGTCCCTACCCCCAGGTGATGTTTCTGGGGGAGATGGAAGAGATTCTTGATGTCATTGAGCCCTCCCAGTTTGTGAAGATCCAGGAGCCGCTCTTCAAGCAGGTGGCCCGCTGTGTGTCCAGCCCCCATTTCCAGGTATGGGGTGGGAACAGGTAGGGGTGGGAGCCAGGGTATGGACGAGGAGGGCAGACCAGTCGACCTGACACAGCTCCCTCCACCCTCAGTTTCACCCTCTCGAACCCGCCAGGGTCTGATAATGGGGAGATGCTGGACTTAAGGTCAGGAGACCTAGGGCCAGGCCTCAGATATGCTCCCCACGGGCTGAAGGGCCCTGGGCAATCACTTTGCCCCTCGGATCTGATGAAGCTTCCTCATCTGTGAAGTGGACCACAGTGATCTCTTCACAAGGTGGTGATGAGGACTAAAGAGAGTGTCGGGCCAACCTACTGGGTAGACTGGAGTGTGCTCCAGAATGGGTTCTTATCCCCGCTCCCCTCTTCCTTGTGGCTTTTGATTCCGTTAGTCCCAGTCTAGTGCCCAGCCAGGCGGTTCCACTTCCGCAGGCTGGCTGTAGTTGCTGTTTTCTGCACACGTGCGCAGACGGCCGCCCATTCACATGTGCCTTAACCTGGTGGAAGTCAAGTCTTCCTCCCAGGGACTCTGGCATTTAAGTTTATTAAATACCTCATGTGATTCTTACAACAGCCCTGGGGAGATAGCTATTATTAGCTCCATTTTACAGTTGAGAAGACTGAGGCTGAGAGGTTAAATGCCTCACCCTAGGACATCTGTCCAGTGTGTAGTGGAACTAGGATTCAACCCCGGGCGTTGGATTGCACCTCAGTGCTCTTTACTTTTCACTACACTGCCGCCTCCTGTGGGTCAGACGAGCCCTGGGGATTGGGTGTGTGGAGGACAGGGTTCCCTGGGGTGTGGGGGTGGGGGGTGGATACCGGGCCTTGCACCTGCAAGGGAGGCCACTACCAGGCGCTCACTCTGCCACCCTGCTGCCCCAGGTTGCAGAGCGGGCTCTGTATTTCTGGAACAATGAGTATATCCTGAGCCTCATCGAGGACAACTGCCACACTGTGCTGCCTGCTGTGTTTGGGACCCTCTACCAAGTCTCTAAGGAACACTGGAACCAGTGAGTGCCTAGGCCTTGACCTAACCCACAGAAGCTGGGTCCAGGGCCGGCCAGTCCAGACCTGAGAGGGTCAGGGATGGGAAAAGGGGCAGGTTGAGAGCAGTGCCTGCGGTGTTCAGAGCGACATGTGTGTTTGGGGAACAGGGGTGGGCAGAGCGCTAGGGAGGGAGGTGGCACCAAACGAAGCTGTTCCCATTTCCTCACCCCTCCCCGGACCCTGTCAAGAACCATCGTATCTCTGATCTACAACGTGCTCAAGACGTTCATGGAGATGAATGGAAAGCTGTTTGATGAGCTCACGGCCTCCTACAAGCTAGAAAAGCAGCAGTGAGTGTTGGACTGGGCGTGGGGGGAGGGGAAAAAGCGGGATGGAGCCGGCTCCTTGCGGTTGGAAGGAGCCTAGGAGGACGGCCCCACATGCTGTGTGATCAGATGCCTAGTCTCTCCCTGTGTTCCTGCTGGACCCTCCATGCCCAGCTCCCCACTGCATCCCCTCCAGTCGTGTTCCCAAGTCTTCTTCCAGGTCTGGAGCTTCCTCCCGTTCAGCTCCATGACCACAGGCCGGGGCTGGTTTCCCAGTGCTCTTTTCCTTAAGTGGAAGGTCCCGTAAAGTCCCTTTACAGTTGGGTGGTGGTGAGCGAAGCTGGACGGTAGGTGGGCCCGGGTAGGGGAGCTGCCTCACCCTCTCTCCCCAGGGAGCAGCAGAAGGCCCGGGAGCGTCAGGAGCTATGGCAAGGCCTGGAGGAGCTACGGCTACGCCGGTTACAGGGGACCCAAGGGGCCAAAGAGGCACCCCTCCAACGGCTCCCACCCCCGGTGGCCACCAGTGGGGGTCAGAGCTAGAGATCCCCTAGAAGGGGAGGAGCTGAATCCAGAGCTGTCAGTCCCTCCATCCCCTCTGCCTACCCAGGGGCCCACAGAGACACACCTACCCCTGGCCTTGCCAGAGCGGGCTTGGAGGGCTCCCTGCCTGGCCCAGCGTGGGCAGCTTTCACTGTGGGGAGAGGAGGAGAGGAGATGGTGGTCCTGGCAACAGAACTCGCAGGCCTTTGTGGCAGGACTTGACCAGGGCAGGCTTGACCGGGAAGCTGCCACTGGGGACTGCACCTGCCCCGCACAGCTGGGCTCCAGACTGCAGGCAGGTTCCCCCCCTGCTCCTGCCTAGAGCAAGGGGACTCAGCCCCTCGCCTGCCCCGCCTCGTGCCAGCACGAGGTCCTTCCTCACCCTACCATGGGATCCATGGTCTATTTATTCTCCCCAGCTCACCCCAACACATGCCCCTGGGGCGTCTTCTTTCCCTCCTCTCCCTCACCCTGTACTTCCTTGTCCCCTTTTTATTTATTGGGCAGGGGGAGGGGTGAGGGCACAGGCAGAAGAGATGCCCCGTGTCCTAGGGTGGGGGGGGTGTCACAGTTACCATGGTCTGTCCCCCTTCCCCTGGCTGGGGGTAGACTTTAAATAAAGAGAGCAACTTGAGAACTGCTTGCTTTATTTAGGGGTAGGGACAAAGAGGGGAGTGAAACGATGACAGACTGGTTGGGAGGCCAGGCCGAGGCAGGGGAGAGGCAGAGACTGGCCTCTTCTCGGGAGTGACAATCACAGAATCTTAAAGAGAGCGGAGCTGTTGTCCTCGAGGAGGCTCAGGATACACAGGACATACTCCAACTCAAACCCTCTGACCAAGGCGGAGGAGGAAGGGAGAGGACGGGCTAGTAGCGTGACAGGCGACACATGTCACACTGGCAGGCCCTGGCCGTGAAGATCTCCAGCTCCTCCCTCCGGTCCCCCCCACACTGCAGCTGCACCTTCACCTGCAGGAGAGGGGGACCCGTGTTCCATTCACCTTCCTTGGGCCATCTGAGAGCTCCGTCTCCCCTGTCTCTCCCCATCCCCGAAGAGCCACTGCTGGGCTGGGCTGTCTCACCTTCTTCAGGCCACTGATGGTACAGCACTGAGAGACGGAGGTCACATTATGTCGATAGCCACTAGCCACCAGCACGGAGTACCGGGAAGGGAAGGCGCTAGACTCACAGTGGCCCACACAGGCCTGTGCCACATGGGAGCCCTGGCAGGTGCCTTGGCGGTCACTTCGCACTGTCACATTGAAGGCTAGAAGGAGACAGGCGAGTGGGAGACAGCGCCTCTGCAAAGCCTCACCTAGCTCCTGTCGCCAGAACCTCAGCGTGGGTCCATTGAGGGTGCTGCCTGCCCTTCGGTCCCATCCATTAGCGCTCGTCTCCCACCCAGGCTGTCTGCTCCCAGGGTTACTCACGGTGCAGGTGGCAGCCTGGGATGGCCGCCTGGCGACCCCAACCTTCCGTGACCGCCAGGACCAGGAGGCAGAGGAGCAGCGTTTGGGGGGATGCCATGGGGATCTGAAACACAGTGGGCAGCTCGCTGTCTCTAGATAAGTGTGCAGGTGGGAGGGGCAGTTCTTTACTGGGTGCCTCCCGGTGAATGAGCCAGGGTGAGGCTGACCTTTCTGACTGGGGTGAGGCAAGCCTGTGAGCCGGGCTGTCTTTTTCCCCCGTAGCTGCCCTTGGGTGCATGTTGTGTCTGCTTGTGTGTCTCTCATGATGGGTGTGAGTGTGAGCAGCTGTCAGCCCACGGCAGTGATTCTCCCCTGGAATCTCCTGACACCTGGAGCACAAACATCTGCCTCCCTCCATCGGCCCCATTTACAGGCCCCAGGCCCTCCCCAAGCTCCTCCTGCCTCAGGCGGCTTACCACTTCCAAAGCCCAGGAACCGAGTGGCTTGCGGAATGGGTTCCTCAGGTCTTCCGCTCGTCTCCAGACAGCGCCCGGTTCTCCGGATTTTTATTTGCCAGCGTCCTGGAGCCACGCCCTCTTGGGGGATCAGCTTACAGGCCTGCCTCCCGGGCAGAGGCCTCAGAGCAATCCCACCTGGGAGATCCGGCTCTTCTCTGAGGTGTAGTCCTCAGAGAGTGGCTTCTGCCGCTTTCTGCCGCCTGAGGTCCCGGGCTGGGGGCAGTGAGATGTGGAAAAAAGCCCAGGAGCTGCTGGAGTGGGCGGCTTGTGTGCATGTGGGGAGAGGAATCAAGACTGGGCTGAGTTGTGGCCGCCAGGGTTCTCTTCTCTGCTGTGTGACCTTGGGCAACACACTCCCCTGTTCAGGGCCTTGCCACCCCAACCCTAAAGCCACTAAACTCATTCTTGCTTGTCCCTTATCCACTGCACAGGAAAAGGGTTGGAAGGATATTTTTATGGGCAAAGGAATGGACACCAGTAAGGGCCTCTTGAGATATGCTGGGTGGCAGAGTTGGGGAGAATGGGGGGTTCTAAGTCCATTTCAGAGCTTCATTTTCACTCGTCCTCCTGGGGGTCAGCCACAGAGGGCGGCTCCCCCTAGTCCCTGGAATAACAGGGACCTGACTCCTGGAACAGTCTGAAGCTGTCAACACCAGCAAAGCCCATCTTTTAGTCCCGCTCTGGCTCAGGTTTTACAGGTAAAGCGGCTAAGGCTCAGAGAAGGAAAGCTACTAAAGGTCACACAGCTAAGGTCAGGCCAAATCTGCTCTCCATACGTGGTGCTAAGTTACACTTGGGACAAGAATGTGGCAAATGGAAAAGATCCCTAGTCAGCAGTAGCTGCACGGGCTCGGGCGGCCAGGGATCAGAAAGAAGCCTATGGTGATTGGGCCCCCACGCCCCAGGGCCACTGCCTCACTGATCTGCTGAGAGAGGCAGAGCCAGCCGCACACACCACCCACCTTCCGTTGTTCAGATGAGAGAATCCAAACCAGAGGGGAAAGTGACTTTGCCAAGGCCTCACTGTAAGCTCGGCAGAGTCAGAACGGCACTCAGATCTCGAGATTCTGGAGCTGTGCCTTTCAGCAGCTTTGTAAAACAGGCCACGTTTGGGACAGGAGGACAAAGGCTATAAACACAACTTGTCCTTAATCTTCCAGTTTCCCTTCGGCCCTTCTCCCCTCAGGACCTGGGCCTGCCTACAGCAGCCACGTCTTCTCCCCCTCCAGGGTAAGTCAGCCAAACAAGGGGACCCCAAGGGACCTCAGCATTCCAACCCCATTTCTGCCATTCGTCACAGAAACCTTCCAGCGTCTGACAGACCATCAGCTCTGTTTAAAGACTAGAAGTGACAAGGACTCATCTCACAAGGTGGCCCATTCTAATACTGGACATTTGTAACAGTGAGATTCCTTTGTTCTGAGCTAAATTGAGTTTCCCTATATTCCCATCTATTTGATCTGTGGCCACACAACACAAGTCTAATCTGTCTGTCCCAGATCAGCCCTTGGGTTACATGAAGTCAGAGCTTGGGTGCCCTGGTCTTCTCCAGGGCCCCTAAACTGGGCTGACTTGCAGTTAATCTGAGAAGCTAAACTGCATTACTGTCAAAAGCCAGAGGGATAGGTGAGTGGAAAGCACTTATCTACTGAGGGTGCACTTAGGGGCCAAACTGGGTGAATTTGGGATAGATGATATCTTGAGGGTCAGCTGGGCTCAGGAAAGTGAGTCTTATAAGACCCCATTCTCAAGCCCTGGCGGGGAGGCTAAGGCTAAGGTTTGCCGTCAGCTACAGACCCCACCCACCCAAAGCATCCCACCAACAATAACTAAGTAGACCCAGGGGAGAGGTTTCAGGCATCGCTTCCCTGTATCTTCAGGGAAGAGTCTGCTGTCTCTCTATTTCATGAAATTCAGTCAATAACTCTTCATAAATAATTTATTTTCATTAGGATCCTAAGTGCTAGAGATGAAAGACCTAAACGGGCCCTCAGAGCAACCCAGTTCTTAGACTAGAACATTTTAGGAAGTTCTTTTCTCAGTGTTTTAAGTTGAAAAGAAAAAAAAAATCCATTGTAAAGGGGCAAAGGATAGGACAAACCCACAAGAGGACTCAGGGAGTTTGGGGCCTGCATTCCCCATGACGGAAATGTCATACACAGAGGACGGAATGCGAAGAGTCACTGCGAGAGGACACTCTTCCCACTGCTGCATCTGGCAGGTTCACTGGCTGCTCTTTCTGAAGAAATAGCGAAAGGGGAAGAGAGAGCTGTGGGAAAGAGAGCAGAATGGGTTGAGATTCTAGAGGTCCCTCCCTTCTCCCAGTCCCATTAGGGGCATTAACAAGGGCATTTTTACTTTAGGGAACCACTATATGGATTCAACTCTGGAGCAGCATTTGAAAAGGTACCCAAAAGCTAATTTGGCTTTATACTCAGGAGTGGGGCATGAAGAAGGAGAATTGCAATGGGGCAGCTGAGCTCTAGAGAGAGAAAGGGATTTGCTAACAGTCTTCTGCAAAAAGGACTCTGAAGATTCAGAGGGGAGAACGGAAGCATCTTGGTAACCGAAGAATCTGAATGGCCCAACAATAAGAACAGTCTCTGTCCAAGGAGAATTTATGGAATGAGGTCCAATGCTAGGCACATTGGGGTGGGTTGTGTAAAAATGAACAAGACACAGTCTTTATTAAATCCAGTTAGGGCCCTTGTGCTGGGTCTCATTTCCATCATGTATCCTGGGGAAAATAGAAATTATGCAGGTAATCTGCTTTCTTTTCTAATTTCCCTGAGAGACTCAATGAGGAAGACTCTGGAGCTAGACACTTCGTGTGTGTGATGGTAAGAGAGACACCTGTCCTACCTTAGAAACCCAAAGAAGCCACTGGTTCCCAGCTCTGGGGGTCCTTTAGGTGGAGATGGGTTGTTTTGCTGCAGTGGGGGGATAATCCGCCCGGCTAGGCTGTCCTCCCACTTAGAATCTGCAAGGAAAACAGTCAGGGAAAAAGTGTTAGTCTGTGGGCTTTCATGTGACATCCAGTGTGGACCAAGGGCAGCCTCACACCAAGACTCGTTTGAAGCCAGGTGACTTGTTTGTTCTGACCCTCCTAATTTCATCTCAGGAGATGTTATTCTGACCTTGGAGTATTTTTAGTTGGGTCCCTGAGATTTTTACACTGCTCAAGTCCTAGCCATCCACCACAGATTGTTGTCTTCTCATGGAATGACGACTTGTTGAAGAACTCATGTGCTTACATCCTAGCATCTGTGACAACTACAGTCCTTCCTGAATCCTTCTGCTAGACAACACCTTAACATGCATTCCCAGCCCTCGCCGAGCGTCCACTGCACCTTCAATATTAATACTAATACGTATCCCAAAGGGAAGAGGAGGAAAGACAGCTTCCTAAAGATTATTCTCCAACAAGACAAAAAAGTGAAACACATCCCTCCCAACTTTTCTGTAAAACTTATCACCCCACATGGAAATGTTTTCAAATAGTCGGAGCATCATTTTCACCATCAGAAGCACAGGAAGTACATGCATTGTTTCCCTTCACTTCTCTTGGGGGTTGGGGGAGCTTTTATTATTCAAGGGCAGGTCCCCAGACCGGAGGATGGCCAACAGTCATCTCCATGGGAGCAAGACACATCACCCACCCAGTGTGTCCACACTCAGAACTCTATGCTGCTCTGCTCATCAGAGAACTGAAGAGGACAGGATTATTACTAAAAGAGAATAAATTTCCCAGAACCTACCCTGTTCCTGGGTATCAGTGATATTAAATGTTGGGGTCTCCTGCCATTCCTGCTGGGTTTTTCTTTCTCTGTTCTGATGAAAAGAAGACCAAGAAAAGTTTTAAACTTTACTCCTATAGAGCTTGGTGAAGTCAATGAAGACTTCATAGGGGAAGTGCTATTTGAATGGGGACTTGATGGACGAGTGGGATTTTGTCATAATGAGGGTGAGGAGATGGTCAGAGAGGGTAGGGCATTTAGAAAGGGACATGATGTACAAAGGCACAGTACGTTAACAAGTAAATGTGATGTGCGTGGCTACAGCTGGGGCAGTGTAAACATAACTATGGCCTAAGCAACCAGCACACTAAACTCAATCTTCTCCCTGGGCTACTCCTTTATAGATATTCTTTCGTACTTTGAAGGGGACATCCTATCACCTGGTTCCAAGCCCACAACATTTCCAGTTGACACCCTGATATTCAGAATCATGGTTCATATGTTTTCTTTGGAATTCCCTGCCAACTGGCCACTCCCCTCACCTGGAAAGAACCTGAGGGCCTGACTACCTAGCAGTGCTGAGAAGTTCCTTGAGCCCTTGTGCTGGTGAAGAATTCTACAGCAAGGGACTACAGACTGTCAAGGTGGGTCAGGAGGCAGAGACATGATAAGCCTCTAGGAAAATTAGGATGTAGCCCCCATCCGAAGCATAAGCTGTATTTTTCTTTTTTAAGATTTTATTATTTTTTCGAGAGAGACAGTGAGTGAGCGAGAGAGAGAGCACAAGCCAGGAGGAGAGGCAGAGGGAGAAGCAGACTCCCCGCTGAGCAGGGAGCCCAATGCAGGGCTTGATCTCCAGACCCTGAGATCATGACCTGAGCCGAAGGCAGACACTTAACTGACTGGGCCACCCAGGTGCCCTAAGCTGTATTTTTAAGAGAAACTTTTCCACAAAACTGCAAATTCCAGAACACACAGGCTGCTACCTAAGTAATATTCCTGTAAACGTGAAAGGGAACTCTGGGGAGGAAGGAAACCATCTCTTACCTCTTCTAAGTCTCCAGGTACACTGGCTTAGAGGGGGACAGCTCTGATTTGTAGCTTGAGGAAATGATTCTTACAAATTTAATGACACTATGGTTTGGAGCTTAAATTCTGCTGCATTGGCCCTAATGAAAGCATCTCCTTAGGTTGGCAGTGGGGAACAGAAGGGCAGAGGCCCTGGGGAAAAGGTAAAGATCTCCCAACCAGGGGAGATTCCCCTCATGAGATAGTCTAGCATTTGTGCTCTCCTGAGAACTTGACAAATGTCTTTTTAGGCAAATGTCGTAAGAAAGGAAAAACACAGCCTGAAGTAAGACTGAGAGTACCATCTGCGACATCCAACAAGACATAATGCACTTACAACCCAACACAAGGTTGTTCTCTGTATGGTCAGGGCCCGATCTGCTTAGAAGTACAGTTCAAGCAGAGGTGGCAAAAAAACAAAAAAACTACCCACATGATAATGTTTTACTTCTGAACCATTCATCAGCTCTCCCCCACTTTTTATCCTTACAAAGTCTGGATCTCTAGTCTGGGACCTGAAGTAATAAAGGGAATTGGCCTGCCTTTCCTTCCCATTCTCCCCAAAACACCTCTTATGAAACAGAGACCTTATTCAGATATGTGCCATGTTCTTCTAAGCTTTCCCCGTACCAGATCCCACTGGTGTCATGTTCAGACATGACAGTCCACACTGATGTGACCCGACACCCTGAGTTCCCCAAAGGGGAGAGAAAATATTAAGCATTGGACCATAGGAGCAAATTCAATTTTTCCAGCTCAAGTGACTTACACTGAGAGTCACTGTGATCAGTCTAATTCAGGAGAAATCCTCTCTCTGGGAACAGGGTCTACAGTGCAGACCGTCATTGGGCTTTGAGTCAAAATCAATAAACATGTTCCTTTTGGGTTTTTTTTCTTCTCATTTTTTTCTAAGCCCAGTATCAGGTTGAAAAGGTAATTATGTTGAGTAAGAAACTGTGGGTACTGTTCTTGAGGGAGATGATGTGTCAAACTAAGAATAGGAAGGTATGAAGGATAGAGAGTGAGGGCAATGTTCTTTTAATAGTAATTATCTTGGTTGTGTAAAGCGTCTTTGTTCTTCAGATCTTCATGTACTCCTCCTGTACTTTCTCATTTCTTTTTCTTCCTTCTTGAAAGGATGGGAGTATAGAAGAGGGCAATCATCTGCCTATAGTCACTCAGTGGGCCAGATGGCTTTGCACAATGGGTCCTGTGCCCTGCCCCTACCCACAGAGGCAGAGGTCCGAGTCCCTAAGGGTTCCCTCTTCCCCCAGTAAACAATAAGTTACTGGAAAGAAACCAGGTTTTACGTGTTCGCATGCACCCCAGCAACTAACACAATACCTTGCAAACAGGAGGCAGAGTAATAATTTAGATATGAAAATTACTTTACTTTTCTACTTTAAAAATGTTTTAGAGAGGGCGCCTGCGTGGCTTAGTTGGTTAAGCGACTGCCTTCAGCTCAGGTCATGATCCTGGAGTCCCGGGATCGAGTCCCGCATCAGGTTCCCTGCGTGGCAGGGAGTCTGCTTCTCCCTCTGACCCTCCCCCCTCTCATGTGCTCTCTCTCTCTCTCTCAAATAAATAAATAAATAAATCTTTTATATATATATATGTTTTAGGGAAATCCTGTGATCTTCAAAGTGGCATTAAGTCCTTCATGATCCAGCCTGTGCTGACCTCTTCAGTAACATTTCTTAGCACTCTACTTTAACTAAGCTCCAGGTACACTGGCTTGCAGTCACCAAATGCACTGTACTCTCTCCTCTTGGCCTTAGTTCTTTGAGCTACCCTGGGAACCCTCCCTCACATCCACCTAATTTGGGTGAGGTTCTCCTTTGTGGTTCCTTTGTTCCCTGTACTTCCTTTATTCCTGTATGTAGCACATCAATCAATAATTGTCTGCCTAGCTTTATACCATTGGCATTTTTAGAGGAGAGCATGATATCGCTAATACTTGGCACACAGTAGACACACAGTAAGTCTGTTGAATAAATGCTTATATAGATATACTGATCATGCTATGGAACTTGGGAAGGTGAGGGAGGTGAACTGGGAGTGTTTAAACGCTGAAGGTCAGAGCTACTTTAGAGCAATAAGTGAAAAGTAAGAAAAGAGCACAAATAACAGCTATTTCAAGAGGGGAAGAAAAGAAAAAGAGTGCTCTTTTAGAGACTACCATGGAAAAGCAGCTCCTACTACCCAAATGGAGTAGCAGCAAATATAGAAATATCTAAATGGAACCTCACAAATGAAATCCAATACTATCGGGGCCAGCCCATCACTGCCCTAAATGAAGTTTTTTCTTACCAGTACCCCATGCGATACATGCCTAGCTCCTCTATAAAAACTAGATGTTCCCAGGCTCAGACCCCAGTGTAGATGATGGCAAAAAGGTTTCTAAAATGAAAAAAATTCTCTACCGGATCCCACCACAATTCAGCAGACCTGTTTTCTTATCTCACTGCAGAGTACAAGAAGCAGCTTTTTAAGCTGAGAAGAAAAGACCTTTTAACAAAAGGATTCATCGATGTATGTATTACGTGGCCACTTTGGGGACAGGTTGTGGCAAGGGTGGAATGGTTGGATGCTGCTCTGCGGATGGTGAAACCTGAGAATGAGTTCAGTCAGCTCAGTCTGTACTTAGGACCAAGAAGTGCTGGTAACAGGAATCCCGACCTGTAACAGAGCAGGAACAGCCAGAAGCCTGAAAGCCTCCATTTTGGTGCTTACCCTCCTGGTTTCCATAAGGGGCTTCTTTTTGCTGGGGCCTTGGCTGGAAATCCCCATCTTGGCCCTGAGGTGAGGGAAAAGCCCAGGAAATGTTACTGGCAGCAGCAACATCACCACATTTAAGCAAATGTGGCCCAAATGAATATTTCAGCAGGTTGGCTATTTTTATAACACTCCTGGCCTGCAGAATAAATTGTGTGGCCAAATTCTCTTTGGGTGCTGCTTTAATTCACAGCAGAATCCCAATTTGAGACATTTAGTGATCTAGGGATTGAGAAAGGAAAAATGCGATTGACAGCAGGTAATCAGATTCTGAAGTACTTGTCTGCATCAAAACCCAGAGGAAGGCAAGATCTGAGGCCTCATCCCCATGGAAAATTCAGTCAAATAGAACCGAGCAAAGCTTCACACCCCTAAGTACCTTCACATTCCACCTGGCTGGGAAAGAAATTTCCTAACTCTTCCCTGACATGTGCATTTGGAGGGTAAAGGGCTCGGCTCCCTCATGGCCCACCCTCACTGCTGTGTGCCCCCATGGTCCCAGGAAGGGAGCAGCTGCTCTCTGTGAACATGGGCTGAAAGCACATTGGGCTGGGGAGCAAACCACATCTTGGATTATTCTAGCTGCCCTCTTTGGGTGCTAAAAAAGAATGACTGTATTACCTTACTGACTCACTCTGTCCCTGACAGAGATTCAGAAGAAGAAAATAAGTACCCTCCACAATACCAACTTTGACATGTTAGGGATGTGTTCAACATTGCCCCTAATGTTCTGGCATCTCACGCAGTAATTGATACATAACCTCTTGCAGACATTTCCATTTTAGCCTACTCCATCTCTTAAGGTAGAATTCCAAAAGTTTACTGCTTACTAGGTAAAATAAGAATTATATTTTATTTTTTTCTCACTCTCTTGAGGGTTTCTCTGCATTCTTGTATAATATTCTGGGACTTCTTAAGTCTTAGGCCTTCTGGTAGTATGACCATACTAAATGCTCACTGAGTAGGACTTGGATTCAATTGTATAGATCTGATCGCATTTCCTTCCAGCCATTGTCTGAGGAACAGAAGAATCCTACTTTGCTGAGGAAGGAATTGTGTTCAAATTGTATTGCAAATATCAACTTGTCTCCTTCCCTTAGTCCACCCATGGAAATAGGCAAGTACCAATGAACCCAAGACAAAAAGTGACTCACTGAAGGACAAGTTGCCTGGCAGCAGTAGCTGGCAAAGCCTAACCAGGATGCAGGACTTAGACTCTCTCCCAACCCCACTGACCTGTCCAGTGCTGGCCTGCTGGGGGAGCTGGGCACTTCCGCTCGTTTTCGTTTCCTCATCGTGGCTCCTGTTTTCCTCTCTGCTAGGACCTTCAGAGAGGAACCCAACTCCTGTGACTCCTTTTCCAGAGCTGTTCACAGTTCATGAGGGCACAGTGAAGAGAACTCCCCATCTTTAAATTACCAAAAGTGACTTTTAACACCAGCTTTTCAAGTAAGGATAGACATTCTGTTAGAGACCGTCTCAGAAATCTGGCCATGAGGAAAAAGATGGTCTCATGTATACAATTCTGACTGCATCTGAGCAGCAACAAAGGGGCAGAGGAAGAGATCAGAGCAGAACCTTTTGGACAACACAAGGCAATAAAGGCAACTGTCATCTTGTACAGAAAAGGCAAACTTACCAATCCAAGAGGACTGTCGTTTATTGGCTCCCCTACAATAGGAAATTTGAATGTCATAATGGATCAAGATGCTGTTCACTTGGATTTCTAGCTATCATTTAGTTCTCAGAACTGGTCCTAGACAAAAACCTCTGTGTCTGCCCTTCTCCTTTCTGCCTGGTACCACTTTTGCTAGAAATATAGTGTCTTCAAACTCTCCTCCTCCCGTTTCAGAACTATTGTCATCTACAAGCTCAAAAGTATTACATTCATACTGTATTCTAATGATATGCCACTTAAAAGGGAGTGATTCTTACTAAAAGAAACAAGGCAGAACTTCAGACATCAGTGATAAATGAACTGGGGAGATACTTTGAGGCAAGGCCTTTGCACTCTTTTCCAACTCAAACTGGCAGGTATCTATTTGTCCCTCTATGTTTAAAAATAGAAATGGCCTTCAGAGATTAAAAACTGGGAGATGCCGGGGTGCCTGGGTGGCTCAGTTGTTAAGCGTCTGCCTTTGGCTCAGGTCATAATCCTAGGGTCCTGGGATCGAGCCCCGCATCGAGCCCCATATTGAGCTCCCTGTTCAGCTTGAAGCCTGCTTCTCCCTCTCCCACTCCCCCCTGCTTGTGTTCCCTCTCTCGCTGTGTCTCTCTCTGTCAAATAAAGTCTTTTTTTTTTTTTAAGATTTTCTTTATTTATTTGACAGAGAGAGACACAGCGAGAGAGGGAACACAAGCAGGGGGGAGTGGGAGAGGGAGAAGCAGGCTTCCCGCCAAGCAGGGAGCCCGATGTGGGGCTCGATCCCAGGACCCTGGGATCCTGACCTGAGCCGAAGGCAGACGCTTAACGACTGAGCCACCCAGGCGCCCCTAAATAAATAGTCATAAAAAAAAACCAACTGGGAGATGCCTTTAAGGATACCCCTAAGGTGAAAGGCACTGCATACTCTAAAATGGAAGGAAGTATTTTTATATAATAGATCGCTTTCACTGAGTGATTACTGTCAGTCAGACTTTGTACTCCTTTCCATCTACCAGTATTTATATATATGTAGTCCTTTTAACAACCCAATGAGATAGGTGCTATTATTATTCTTCACCATTTCACAAAGGAGGCACAGAAAGACTAACTAATTCATCTAAGGTCATACAACTATTAAGTGGCTAATCCACCAGGATTTGAACTAGGCAGTCTGGCTTGGAGCACTTTGTTCCTAACCTCTGCACCGTGCAGTGTTTGGGCCCAGTCTGGCTGACCATTTTGCCATATTGAGCTTGCACTGCTAACCATGGACATTCAACCTTCCCTATTTCTTCTCTACCACTAACTTCCATCATTCTACTTACCAGGTGACGGGTTTTCATGAAACCATTTCATCTCCACATATAGAGTGAAAACGAATGGATAAGGGACTAAGACAATTTCCCTATGTTTGAATTTCAGGTGGGACACTCTCTCCCATTTGCTTTTATCTGGGAAATGGTGCTAAGGAGTGAGGAAAGAAGTCAGTCAGTATGAGTCCTTGAGTACTATTTTAGGGGTAAGACCCTCTCCTTTCCCTGGTTTGCCCCGTGGGTTTGCTGCTTCCATTGGAATCTACAATGCGACCTGCAGCTCGTTTCTATCCAGAAATGAAAGGATACAGGGAAATATAATGAAGTGCTCTGTAGCAAATGGCTGCAGATTGTCCAAGTTTCCCAAGACTACACGAATAGAATCCTGAGAAGAAAAAAAAAGTTGAAATGACTTTAATACCGTCTGGTCCCAGTCAATCTTTCCATTTCTACCTGTCACTGTTTTTTCCATACTCTATATTCTATTAAAGCTGAACTACTTGCTGTTCCCCGAACACGCCTTCTGCCTCTCCATTTCTGTGTTCTTGCACAGTCTGTTCCCTCTGCCTGAAATGCCCTTTCCACCCACCAGCCTATGTCCAAATTCCACCTATCCTTTAAGGTCCAGTTCAGAAGCTATCTCCTCCAGAAACTTTTCCCTGATTTCCCAAGTTGTAAATTAACTATTAGTCTCAAACTTCACAGCAGTTAGCCTTGAGTCTTTACTACATCCCATCCAGATATGTTTTTTCTTACTGAGAAATCTCCTTGAGCTAGAATATATACCTGATTTATTTTAGCATCCCTTCTATGGTGTCTACCTCAGTAAGTGTATACTGACTGACTGACTAATACTAGTATTTATTGATACGTAGTTATTTTACTTTAGCTTAAGTTCAACATTTTCTTCTACTCTTTTCAAATCTTAATTGATTAGTCTCTAATTAACCTATGCTTATTAGTATACACCAACTAAACAATTTGGTATCATAAAAAGACTACTGGATTTCTATGGGGGAAACATCTGAACTTCAGTCTTAGCTTTGTCATTTCATCTCTCTAAGCCTCAATTTCCTTGTATTGGGCTCACAACAGGTAGAAATGGTGCCTTATTTATCTTTGTATTCTCTGTACTACCATAGTATCTGGCTTATAATTTTAAAGTTTATTTATTTATAATCTCTACGCCCAACACGGGGCTCGAATTCATGATCCCGAGATCAAGAGTCATACGCTCCACTAACTGAGCCAGTCCGGAGCCTGTGGCTTATAATTTTAATAGCTAATATTTATTGAATAATCATGATGTCAAGTGTTATTATTTTTATACATATTAACAGTCACAGAGACCTTATGAGATAGGCACTTCTCTTATCCCCATTTTATAGACAAGGAAACCGAGACAAAGAAAGGTGAAATAACTTATTCAGGGTTACACAGATAGTAATGGTGGAGCCAAGATATGAACCCAGGCAGTGGGGTTCCAGAGTTACCCTCCTAACCATTAGGCTCACTGCCTATCAATAAACGTTTTCTGAATAAATAAAAGAGGATGGTAACATCTAACTCAAAACTGAGAGTAAGAACATATAAGAAGCACTTTGAAAAATTTGGTAGGATTATAAATGTAGACAGATGCTTTCTAGTTATGATGTACTGAGCTACTTACTATGCGGCAAGCATTGCACACATCTATTTCTAATCTTCACCACAATCCTGGAAACAGGTATTATTTATTAACTTCATTGACAGGTAGGAAAACAGGCTCAGAGAAAATAGGTAACTTCCCCAAAACCCCAGTGTGAAGGCAGAACTTAACTCATATCCAGATGTGACTGGCTCGAAGGTCTATGCTCTCTCCACTTTACTATGCTGCCTTGAGCTGTTCTCTGCCAGAATTAATTGAAGCAGAGTGAAATAAACTTTCCTCTGCTCACAATTAAAATAAGCAGAAAACTGTCATGGTCCTACATTAAAATAATTGTTATTTATAATGATGTCTATGAGCTCCTGCAAGATTCTAATGTATCTTTTAACACTTAGCCAAAGAGCTATAGATAGATACCTTTAAGGCTATGACTTAAATTTTTGGTTGAAAGAGTTTTGTTTGTATATTTCATTGTATTCAAATTCTTTGAAATCTGGCAGCAGATGTCTTCATAAATTAGAACAGCCATAAATCACTGAGTTGTGAACGTAGAAGAGAAATAACCTAGTTTAGCACTCTCATTTTATGTAAAGGCAATTAAGACCAAGAGAATGATTTACTGGGGGGCGCGCAGCTAATCAGTAGCTCAGCCAGGGCTGGAATCCAGGGCCAGCATCCAGAGCTCTAACTCCTTGGACAATGCTTTCACCAATTTACAAAGCTGTTCACTTGCTCAATCTTCTTCCTGTGGGAGAACCTAACGCTGGGTAGAAAAGGAATGAAAATGAAGTGGGAATAAAGCAAATTGCAAATGTTTCCAATTAAAGTGAAGACACAGCAGTCTTGTCTGTGTATTTACAGCTGAGTTTCCTGAACGTCAAGTACCAGGCAGTGGTTGGGAGGGTGAGGCTTCCCAGAGCCCTGGAAGGCGGCAGTCTTCCAGAAGCTTTCTCTATGCTGGCTGCCACAAAAGAGAGCTGAAGAGGGCTGGGAACTCTGGTGGAAACAATAGAACTCAGCCTCAAAGGTGCTGACACTTCAGCTAGAAGAACTGAGAAAGGATACAGGCTTTAATTTCCCTGGAAAAACAGTGAAGTTTCTTTGCAGAGGAAACATGGCAGGGAGAAGCCAAGTGATCAAGTGGAGGCTGTGACTCAGTTCACAGGAAATAATTAAGATCTGGATATGGACACATCTTTGGTTTAAAGAGTAACTTTCCCAGAAGTTGTCTGCATCTTTCCCTACCTCCAGCTCCTGGACGATGACTTCCTTATTCTCTATCTCTTCCCCTCTAGAAGGTAAACAGATAAGACATAAGTACACCAAGAAGGAAAACTCTGAAGACAGTAGACTCTACGGTCAGTAAAGAGAAGACAGTAGAGTAAAAATGACACTTCCATTGAGCTACAGAAACATAACTAAGTAACAGTTGTGTGTGTTGACTCAGGGCTCATGGGAAAAAGTTATCACTTAGGTGGTGTAATCTGACAATCGGTAGAAGGATATACCAAAATATCTTCTTCATTAACCTGCCAAGACCTGACATTTCCACTGTGAAAGTTAATAGTTTGTTAGTCGAGTTGTACTCAAGTGTAGTCTATGGACTCCCAGGTGTCCTCAAGACCCTTTCAAGGGATCTCCAAGGGCAAAACTATTTATAGTAATAATAAGATGTTATTTGCCCTTTTTTGCTGTGTTAATATTTTAATCGTTAGCACAAAAGCAGTGGAGGGCAAAATTGCTGGTGCCTTTGCACAAATCTAGCCAGTTGCACTAAACTGTAAGTTTAAATTGTGGTCATTTTAACTACCACACAGGAAAAAAAAAATCCAGCTTCATTTAATGTATTTGAGGAAGCAGGAAAAAATTAATAATTTTATAAAATCTCAACCCTTAAATACACGTCTTTTTAATACGTTATGTGATAAAATGGAAAGTACTCATACAGCACTTCTGCTGCACACTGAAATACGACGGTTGTTTTGAGGAAAAGCACTTGTGCAATTGTTTAAATTGCAAACTGAACTAGCTGGTCTTTTCATGGGATGTTGTTTTACTTCAGTGATCAGTTAACAGACAAACTACAGTTGTTTTCAGATTTAGGAATGTGACATTTTCTCAAAAATGAGCTTATCAATTCAAGGAAAGCAACGGACAGTTTGTGTCAATGATAAATTTTGGGATTTCAAGCAAAAATTTGAACTTTGGAAAACTTCTATGCACCACACTGAGGTTGATAACTTTCAAATATTTAAATACTTTTCTGAGATTGGTAGGGATATTAGCAAATATGATTATATGATATTGTATAATGAAATGAGTCGACATTTGGATGATCTATATAAGTCAGTGAACCAATATTTTCCAAATGACCAATGAAACACATCATGTTACAAAATCATTCTAGGTAAAAGATTCACTTACAGAACAAGACAGACCAATAGCTTTCAATGTAGCAGAGTTCAAAAAGTTCACTGATACAATTCAGATTCCATATTGCAACTAACCTTTAAAAAACTACCACATTAAAGGAGAGCCTGGGTGGCTCAGTTGGCTTAGCAACCAACTCTTGATTTCAGCTCAGGTCATGATTGATCTCAGGTCTTGGGATCAATCTCCGTGTAGGCCTCTGGGCTCTCTGCTCTGTGTTCAGTGCACAGTCTGCTTGAGATTCTCGCTCTCCCTCTCCCTTTGCTCCCCAAACCTGCCTGCCCATTCTCTTGCTCTCTCTCTAGACAAATAAAGCCTTAAAAAAAAAAAAAAAGAACAAAACAAAACAAAACAAAAGCTACCACATTAGGGAAGCCTGGGTGGCTCAGGCAGTTAAGTGTCCAACTCTTGGTTTCGGCTCAGGTCATGATCTCATGAGACGTGAGATAGAGCCCCAAACCCGGCTCTGTGCTGTGTCTGCTTGGGATTCTTTGCCTCTCCCTCTCCTTCTGCCCCTCCTCCTGCTCACGCACAGGCACACATTCTCTCTTTCTCTCTCAAATAAATAAATAAAATCTTTAAAAAGAAAAAGACACTCCCTCTGCCTCTCCACCTGCTCTCTCTCAAATAAATAATGTTTTTAAAAAACTACATTAAAACAAAACAAAACAACTACCACTTGTTAATTTTTAATGCAGGGTCAAAGAAGAATATCCACAATAATCTGTGAAGGCTATTATCAAATTCCTACCCTTCCCAACTACAAATCTATGTGAGACTGGATTTTTTTCACATAACTCAACCAAAAAAAAAAAAAAATTCACAACAGATTGAATGCAGAAGCAGATATAATCTAGCAGGCCTCTAGTAAACCAGACACTAATGAGATCTGCAAAAATTTAAAACAATGCCAATCTTCTCATTAACGTTTTATCTTGGAAAATATGGTTATTTTTAATAAAAATGTGTTAACATTTAATGGATATATTATTTTAAATTAATATACTTTAAAATTGCGGTAAAATATATACAACCTAAAATTTGCCATTTTAAACATTTTTAAGTATACAATTCAGTGGTATTAATTACACTCATAACCATGGTATGCAACCATCACCACTACTTACAAAGTTTATCTTCCCAAACAGAAACACTGTACTCATTAAGCAATAATTCCCCATTCTGCCCTCCACCCACCCTGGTGACCCCTAGTCTACTTACTTTTTTTTTTTTTAAGGTTTTATTTATTTGACAGAGAGAGACACAGCAAGAGAGGGAACACAAGCAGGGGGAGTGGGAGAAGAAGCAGGCTTCACACTGAGCAGGGAGCCCAATGTGGGGCTCGATCCCAGGACCCTGGGACCATGACCGGAGCTGAAGGCAGATGCTTAACAACTGAGCGACCCAGGCACCCCCCAGTCTACTTTCTATCTCTATAAATTTTCCTATTTAATATTTCATGGAAGTGGAATCATACAATATTTTTCCTTTTGTTAGTGGATTATTTCACTTAGCATAATGTTTTCAAGGTTTATCCATGTTGTACCTGTATCAGAACTTCTTTTGCAATTTCTTCTTATGGCTGAATAATATTCCATTGTATATATGTATATACCACACATATAAGCGCATTTTGTTTATCCATTCACTAATTTGATGGACACTTGGGTTGTTTCCATCTTCTGGCTATTGTGAATAATACAGCTGTGAACAGTGTTGTACAACCACCTGCTTGAATCCCTGTTTTCAATTCTTTGGGGCATACACCTACAAATGAAATTGCTGGGTCATATGGTAATTCTATGTTTAACTTTTTGAGGAACTGCCAAACTGTTTTCCACAGCAGGTGCACTACTTTATACTCCTAAAAGCACTATACAAGGTTTCCAATTTCTCTACATCCTTGCTAACTGTTAATTTTCTGGGTGGTCTTTTTTGTTGTTTTTTGTTTTTTTATATAGCTATCCAGGTAGGTGTAAAGTGGTATCTCATTGTGGTTTGGATTTGCATTTCCCTAGTGACTAATGATACTGAACATCTTTTCATGTGCTTATTGGCCATTCGTATATCTCCTTTGAAGAATGTCTATTCGTCTTTTGTCCATTTTAAAATTGGTTTATTTTTTTGCTGTTGAATTGTACTTCTTTCTATATTCTAGACATTAAACTCTTACCAGATATATGATTTACAAATATTTTTCTCCCATCTGTGGGTTGCCCTTTAACTCTGTTGATAGTGCCCTTTGATGCACAATTAAAAAAATTTAGTTGGGGCACCTGGATGGCTTAGTCGGTTAAGTGTCTGCCTTCGGCTCAGGTCATGAGCCCAGAGTCCTGGGATCGATTCCTGGATTGGGCTCCCTGCTCAGCAGGGAGTCTGCCTCTCCCTCTGCTCCCCGCCCATGCTCTCTCTCGCAAATAAATACATAAAATCATTAAAAAAATTGTTTTAAATTTAGTCAAGTCCAAATTTATCTAATTTCTTTTGTTGCCTATGCCTTTGGTATTGTATTTAAGAAACCACTGCCAAATTCAAAGTCATGAAGATTTGTCCCTATATTTTCTTCTAAGAGTTTTATAGTTTTAGCTCTTAAACTTAGATCATTGATTTTTTAAAAGATTTATTTATTTATTTTTAGTGGGGGAGGGGCAGAGAGGGAGAAAGAGTCTTAAGCAGATTCCACACTGAGTGTGGAGCCCAACATGGGTCTCAATCTCATGACCCCAAGATCACGACCTGAGTCAAAACCAACAGTTGGTAGCTCAACCGACTGTGCCACCTAGGTGCCCCTAGATCTTTGATCTATTTTTAGTTAAGTTTTGTATATGGTATAAGGTAAGGGTCTAACTTCATTCTTCTGCATGTGGATATCTACTCTTCTCAGAACCATTTATTAAAGAGAAGAGACTGTTCCTCCCCTACTGAATGGTCTTGGCACTCTAGTCAAAAACCAATTGGCCAGGGTGCCTGAGTGGCTCAGTGGGTTAAGCAACTGCCAGGATCAGGTCATGATCCTGGAGTCCCAAGATAGAGTCCCGCATCAGACTCCCTGCTCAGTGGGGAGTCTGCTTCTCCCTCTGCTCCTCCCCCTCTCCTGTTCTCTCTCTCTCACTCTCAAATAAATAAAATCTTTTAAAAAAATTTTTTTTAGAAACCATAGATGTGAGGGTTTATTTCTGGGTTCTCAATTCTATCCTATGGTCTACAAAGTTGTCCAAAGGCCATACCATACTTTTTGATTACCTGTAGCTTTGTAGTAAGTTTTTAAATTGGGAAGTATGAGTCTTCCAATTTATTCTTTTTTAAGATTATTTCAGCTATTCAGGGTCCCTTGAAATTCCGTATAAATTTTAAGATGGGCTTGTCCATTTTTGCAAAATATGCCACTGGGATTTTGATAGGGATTTCACTGAATCTGTAGATTGCTTTGTCATCTTAATAATATTATGTCCTCCAATCTACAAACACAGACATCTATTAATTTAAGACTTTGATTTCTTTTAGCAACTTTTTGTAGTTTTCAGTGTATAAGTCTTCCATCTCTGGTTAAATTTATTGCTAAGTATTTTTTTCATATTGATGCTATTGTAAATGGAATTGTTTTCTTCATTTTGTTTTCAGATTGTTTTTTGCTAGTGCATACAAATACAACCGATTTTGTATGTTGATTTTGTATCCTGAAACTTTTCTTAATTCATTGATCAGGTCTAATAGTTTTTCTGTGTACGTGTGGATTCTTTAGGATTTTCTACATGTAAGATCATGTCTTCCACAGGGGCGCCTGGGTGGCTCAGTTGGTTAAGCGACTGCCTTCGGCTCAGGTCATGATCCTGGAGTCCCGGGATCGAGTCCCACATCGGGCTTCCTGCTCAGCAGGGAGTCTGCTTCTCCCTCTGACCCTCTTCCCTCTCGTGCTTTCTATCTCTCATTCTCTCTCTCTCTGAAATAAATAAATAAAATCTTTAAAAAAAAAAAAGATCATGTCTTCCACAGATATAGTTTCACTTCTTCCTTTCCAATTTGTATGCATTTAATTTCTTTTTCCTAATTGCTCTGGCTAGAAACCAGTACTATGATGAATAGAAGTGATGAAAGTAGGCATCCTTGTCTCTTTTTTAAAATTTTATTTATTTATTTGACAGAGAGAGACACAGCAAGAGAGGGAACATAAGCAGGGGGAGTGGGAGAGGGAGAAGCAGGCCTCCCACAGAGCAGGGAGCCCAATGAGAGGCTCGATCCCAAGACCCTGAGACCATGACCCGAGCAGAAGGCAGATGCTTAACGACTGAGCCACCCAGGTGCCCCACTGTTTTTGATCTTAAGGAAAATGCTTTTTTTTTAAAAAATGAGTATGATGTTAGCTGTGGCATTTTCATATTTGGCCTTATCATATTGAGGAAGTTCCCCTCTATTCCTAGTTTATTGAGTGTTTTTATCATGAAAGGTTGCTGGATTTGGTCAAATGCTTTTTCTCTTTTTTTTCTTAAAGGAGGTAAAAGTTTATTGAATACACCTCAGGGGGGCAACAGGCAGGACAGCAGAGGAAAGGCTGTCTGCCTCAGATGCTTTTTCTTTAGCAATTGGGATAATTATGTGATTTTTCCCCCTTCATTCTATTAATGCAGTGTACTCTATTGGTTGACTTCTTTTTTTTTAAAGATTGTACTTATTTATTTGAGAGAGAGAGAGAGAGCGTGCACAAGCAGGGGGAGGGGCAGAGGGAGAAGCAGACCCCCTGCTGAGCAGGGAGCTCAATGCAGAACTTGAACCCAGGACCTTGGGATCATGACCTGAACCAAAGGCTTAACTGACTGAGCCATCCAAGTGCCCCTATATTGGTTGATGTCTGTATGTTGAACCATCCTTGAATTCCTGGGGTAAATCCCAGGTATGTGAACAATGCCAATCTCCTCACTAATTTTTTAGAAATATAGTTGTTGTTTTTTTTTTAAGATTTACTATTTATTTTAGAGACAGGAAGAGCAAGAGCAGGGGGAGGGGGAGAGGGAGAGGGAGAGGGAGAGGAAAAGAGAGAATCTCCAGCAGACTTCCTGCTGAGTGTGGTGCCTGATGTGGGGTTTGATCTCATGACCCTGAGACCATGACCTGAGCCGAAATCAAGAGTCAGATGCTTAAGTGACTGAGCCACCCAGGTGCTAGAAATATACTTTTAATAAAATATATTATCTGTTAACATTTAATGATACATTATTTTTAAATTAATTAATAAGTATGTTATTTTAATGTTTCTGTTTTAATCTTTATATGATACATATTGACAGGTATAACCCACATAATCAAGACCTCTTTGGGATCCTCGATAATCTTAAGAGTGCAAAGAGATCCTGAGATAAAAAATCATGAGAACCACTGCTCCAAAGATATGCCATCACTAACTTAGAAACTTACCTGAATAATAATATGTGGAATATAAAATATCTGGGAGAGTCCTACAAGATGCTACTTCAGCCAGTCCCCTGGACTGAGTGAAGGCAGAGAAGGGATGACCTGTTGGAATGTACTAACCTGTATTTGCAAAGGCTACTCTCCTAGCTTTAAAATTACCTGATGTTGTTGCCATATCTAATTTTGAATTTATACACATTGGGTCCTGCATGAAGAAACCTCGTCTCTGGAAACGGGAAGGTGAAGGGTTTTAAACTCATTGCTTCCAAATGATAGCCTAATAAAACAGAAATATTGGAGAATTATTAAAAAGCTAAAAATGGTTCCTTATCAACTTTATGGTATAGGAAAGACAGCCTGCCCAATATATAGCATCTCTTCATGAGTAAAATGTCCCAACACTCAGCACCACTGTCCCAGGCTCAGTTTTTATACTAATTTTCTGTATTAATCACTTGGACCATTCTCCTACCTGCATGGGGAAGATATGGTGATTGGGGATAATCTCTGTACTTGAAATCAAAAGACGTGAGTTCAAGGTTTGTAGTTTACCTTACACCTCGGGCAAATCACTTCTCTCCATGAGACTAGTAATAGCAACATCTGATGACTCACAAGGTTTTTGTTACGATTAAATCTCCCAAATATCTCTTGAATCTCTTCTCCTCCCTTGTCCCCACTTTCCCTGGAACCTATGCCAGTGTGAAGAGGGCTCAAGTCAAATAATTAAACAATCCAAATGCACCAATAGGTGGCATAATTAGAAAGACCTCTGCTGTTAATTTTAGATGAAGTTAAGGGATGAGCACACTTTCCAGCCACAGCTAACACAGCAAATAAGGATGTACACTAATGTTTTCCAGTGCAGCCGAGGAATGCCTTATCTTTCCTAGCTCTCAACCACCCTTCCTCTTCACTGCTTGTGAGATTGCCCTGTGCCACAAGAGTGCCTACTATCCTCCTAGCACTTAACTAGTTTCACTTTTCCTATTCCAGAATCTCTGCCCACTTAAGGTCCTCTCTGAGGGAAACTGGGGAAAGGGGGCATGTCTCTTCTCCTCCAAGAGGGCATTTGGTACACACTCAGAAGTAAGAATCAAGCACAGTAATTAGTGATTTTCTAAGTCATCAGGACTTTTCTGTGTCTCTTTTTACTTGTAGAGATAATAAACCCTGCATTTTCTGTCTCTTCATGTGGAAGTTTAAGTAATAAATAATGAGATTTGAGGTCCAGAGCTCCTGAGGATAAAAGCTACCTACACACAACACGAAGTATTGATTTCAGAGGCAGCTAAGATGGGGTAGACAGACAGGCACAAAGAGAGAATAATTTAGGTTTGAACCTCAGCTCCAACGTCCCTCCTTGGTTTCTCTAGGCCTTGGTTTTCTTGCTTATACAATAATAACAACAACTAACAACAGCTTTTTGTTATGCCCTATTGTAAGTGCCTTACATATCTCACTTAATCCTCACAATAAGCCTGAAATCAATAGTCTAAATTTGATAGATAAGGAAACCGAGGCACTGAGAGATGAAGTAACCTCCCCATAGCTGTATGAAGGTTGGAATCAGGATTCCAAAGTGAGGTAATATAAGGCCAGACTTGATACTCTTATCTACTTTTCCACTCTGCTTTCTGAGGATTTTAGTACCCCCCCCAAAAAAAAGATAATATAAAATCATTTTGTAAGTACTAAAATATTATGTACATGTAAAGGACTATTTTCATTATTCTTTCCTCCATATTACCCCAATACCATTTCTACTCAGCAAAGAAAACTCTTGTATGGTGGAGTCAGGAGATCTATGTGCCCAAAGCATGGAATTTCCCACAATTTCCAAAGTTCATGTCTGGGACTGCCAGTAAAGAGGTATCCCAGTGTCTGATCTCGGCTGCTTTGGATTAGAATGACAGGAGGCTGGAGTCAGAGCCCATGAGACTATTTAGACTAGAACTGCAGTCAAAAGTGAAAAGATATAGTTGGTGCCAACTGCAAAGTTACCAGAGGGGAAATATTGTTCATATCCTGAAAAAAAAAAAAAAAAAAAGCTTGCTGATTCTCATGTCCAAGGCATGGCAGGAACCCAGCTAGATTTGATTGTGTTTTTGGTGCTAAGGTGACTTTTCTAAGTAGGAAAGGAGTGCACCTGGTGAGACTTAGGTTGCGGCCACAAAAATTTAGCTTTTAGTTATTCAGGGGGTTCTCCTACAATGCAGTCACCTCTCACCACAGATTGAGGGCTGGGGGGATCAGAGCAAAGGAAATGAAGGACATTTGCTGGAAATGACAATCCAGGGAGGAAACTTCGTGTATTGCACCACAGCTGGCTGTCTGGAACAGGTAAAAACAGCCCTCTCTGGCTGGAGCCTGCCTGTTAATTGCTGGCTGCCTGGTTCAGAAACAAACACCACACACTAATTACCTCATTTGAAAATAAAGATTAGACAGCATAATCCAAAAGAACCACATAGTAGTAGTGGTTCAAAGATTTCACAAGGTTATTTTCCAACATGAGTACTGCAGTCATGATGACACTGTGGGATCTTAACAGATGAAGAGTCAGACTCTCAACCCATTTTTAGGTGATCAAAAAACATGATGGGTTTAAAACAAAACCAAAAAAAGTTTAGAGGCAATATGCATTCGTTGGAAAGACATAAGATTTGGAATTGGAGGATCAAGGCTTGAGTCCTAGCTCTGCCTCTTATTAGTCATTAGACCCTGAGCAAGTCACTTAGCCTCATCATTTCTCAGTTTCTACACCTGCAAATGGGAATCCTATCTACCCCTGGAATTGTTGAAGGATTAAATAAGATTATATTGTAAACAGCACTTCATAAACTGTAGAGTATTATATAACCATTAGCTGTTTTGATAGATTTGAAGTTTCTCTCTTAATGCTTCACTAGCAAAGCAAATTTAAGAGAGGAAAACCATCTTTAATCTCAGTGCAAAAATTTGACACATCCCAATCAAGAACCTTTCTTGATTTTTTCTGAAAATTCCCAATAATTAGATTTAAATGACACATTGGCAATGATGTTAGATTTTTAAGGGTTTTTCGTAATTTGTTTCACATAAGGAAACATCTAGGTCAATGCATAGAATCTAAAGCAGGACTGATGCTATATGAGGATAATGATATTAACTATTGAGATGGAAGGAGATGATAAGGAAGTACTGTCACTAAATATATCTGGCGACACTTGATGGAAAAATCCTCCACAAGGTTAAAGAATAAAAGAGCTTTCATAAGCATTTATTCAAAATACATTTACTGGGCAGATCTAATATGACAGGCTCTGTGACCAATGAGTGTGGGCAACAACATAGGGAAATCCCACTGATACTGTGAATTTACTACCCAAGTTTTAAAACTGAGATTGAAGACAGATGACCAGCTTCTCCTTCCGCCTTCACAAATCCTTGGCTGGTCTCAGAGGTCTGCCTGGCTCTACTGAAGTGTATTCAGACTAGAGATTCTATAGTAGAGAATACTTCCAGACTCATGGTTGCCTATAGCCTGAAGTGGCCTTTGTTTTAGAGGGTACGAGAAGAAACTGATTTCACCAAAGAAGGAAATAAATTTCACAAGGTTACATAACTCAGTATGGAACCAGGATTAGCACTCCCCAAGACTGCTGATTCCTTTGGCCCACACATTTTCCATTACAACACATCACTCTGTCAGTCACTTTATTACACTATAAACCCTGGTCACTCCCATAATTGTGGATGACTCAAGATAAACTCAATCTGGGCACAAAGGCATCAAACCAAAATGTTAGCTTTTCTGATTAAATGTTCTTAGAATTATTTCTTGGAGGTGTTAAAGGGTCACATTCACATTTGTTTGTCTTCAAGCTCTATTTTCAAAAGGAACTATTCTGTTTCTTCACCTTGCCGGGTGACTAGGATGGCTGATGAAATAATGCAGCTATAATTGCTTACTGTAATGCTCTACACATAGATTATTCTTTAAAAACAAAACAATGTGTTAAGATATTGGACAAGAAGAGACTAATCTAAGACTACTCAGGATACTTTCATGCTTCTCGATGTCATTCTTTCTCATTAGGTTTCTTCCTACTCTTTAGACACAATCTTTAAAATGCTCTTGGTATTTGTTCAGGAATAGATTTGCTCTTGGAACTATCAGATTTTGTTTTGTTTTGTTTGAGAGGGGAGGAGTGACTAAACCTTCTAACAGAGAGGTAGGAAGATGCCCCAAAATGAAACCAAAAGGCCTACTGGGACAACTCAATAGACCAGAAAGGAGTCTAAGTTAATCTCTCACGCTACCTTTTGCACCTAAGTGCCACTTCCACCTACATCTTAACCATTCTAAATGCTACTGGAAAAACTACCTTTGGTCAATAGGTCCAGAACTGTGCTCCTTATTCTGGAAAAGCAATAGAATGGTATCTCATCTCACCATCCTGCCTAGTAGTTGTGGCTTGTTTAATGACAACCTATTACATTCACATCACACTGCAGCACTCTAAACATCTTCCCAGCCCCAGGAACCCAAAAAGCATTTAGATGTAAAACTGCAGGCAATGAAAGACATTTTATTTTTTGGTTACACCATTGGGTGAGTTGCCCTGAAGCAGTACATGTAGGGATGAAATATTTAAAGAGGGGGGGAAAAGCATCAGTAGTTTCTGAAGGGCAAATGGTAGAGAGAATAGGTAGAGAGAAAGGAACATCTTTTATAATTTGAGCTAAAAACTCTTTGAGTCTTTGATGTACATATCTCAAGGGTCTTAGTGACAGAAGAATGATATAGGAAAGTGTAAAAAGAAAGCTTCTAAAATATACAGCTTTGTTCTTGCCATGAAACAATGGCATATTCTGAAATTAAGTTCATAAGAAAATTAAAATACTTTTTATGTAAAGAGAGCAAATTTCACACAGGAAATTTGAAATATTTTACTAACTTTAATCCAATACTGGTGAGATACTGGGGAGATAAGAATTTTATTTACAAAAAGATATATCTGGCTTAAGATCATCATCTAATTTGGCCAAGATCATACAAGAGCAAGACTAAAACGCAGATGTATTGCTAAAGCAAGACAGTCTAGCTGATTATGAACTGGCCTAGACTCCATATTAGCCTCAATTCTTTACATTTTATCACCTAAGCCTAGCTCCAAAATAACAAAATCAGTTATTATTGCTAAGAAACATAAAGCTTTGTACTTTGAAAAACCATCAAACCATATGGATCTGATGGTGAACAGATCTTAACAAACAACCTCATATTTATGAAGCACTTTCAGTGTATATAATGCTTTCCTATCCTTATCTCACAAGATCAAAGAACTTCTATTAAAGTAGGAAGGGCAGATTCGGCTACCTTATACTCTAACTGCTCTCCTCACTTTTACCTGATTTGGTTCTCTCAATCTCATGTTCATTCAACATTCACTCAGCTCACAAATATTCGAATACCTACTATGTTCCAGAAATGAAGTGTCGGAGACACGGTGGAGAAGAGTAAGAACTTGGTCCTCACCTGCAAAGAGCTTACAAATAATTTTAAAGTTTGATGACTGCCACAAAAAAGAATAGGGTGATGTGGCAACATGATAGAGAATCTAACCCCAGAATGGAAATCATGGAAGCCCACTCTAAGTAACAGACTCACATCTGAGGGATGAGTATGAGTTAGGAAGGCACAAATAAGAGAATGGGTCTGGGGTGGGTACAGGAAACAGCAGATGTAAGAGTCCTCAACTGGGAAAGAGCATGGCACTTTCAAAAGAGAGAAGTATAGTAACCCAGAACATAATGGGCAAAAAGGACAGTGCTATGACATTAACTCTATACAGATAAGCAATGAGTTAGTCAGCATACATCGGAGAGTCTACTATGCACTAGGCACTGTTCTGAGCCTGTTTAGAGTAGGTAACAAGAGAGACATGATAACTTGTCTTTAAGGGCTTACATTTTAGTAAGTATGGAGAGCAACAATAAACATATAAATATATAAATGTAATTTGAAGTACTCCAAGTACTATAAAGAAAATAAAATAGGGCTTTATAGTAAAGAGTGACCGGGAGGCTGGTTTAACTACTGTGGCCAGGGAAGGCCTTTTGGACAAGATCACAATTGAGTTAGGCTTTAATGGAAAGTGGAACAACCAGGCAAAATCAAGGGGAAAAGCATTCCAAGCAGGAAAAAAAAAAAAAACAAGCAAGCACAGATGCCCTGTGATGGGTGGTTTAATGGACAAAAAGTTCAGTGTGACTGGAGCACAGAGAATGAAGACAGATTAGAGGAAGATGAAGTCAGAGATAGGCATAAACCAGATCATTTAAGGCCTGTAGGCCATTGTAAAGAGTTCAAATTTTATGCTAAGGGTTTTATAAAGAAAAGTGAAATGATTTATGCTTTAGAAAGATGAACTGTACATGGGGCACTCTGGTGGATCAGTTGGTTAAGCGTCCAACTCTTGATTTTGGCTCAGGTCATGATCTCAGGGTCACGAGATAGAGCTCTGCGGTGGGCTCCAAACTCAGTGGGGAGTCTGCTGGAGACTCTCTCTTCCTCTCCCTCTGCCCTCCCCTACCCCCCACCCATGCACTCTCTCTAAAATAAATAAATCTTAAAAAAAAAAGAAAAAAGAAAGATGAACTGTACAAGGATAAGAGTAGAAACAGGGAACCATTCAGGAAGATTTTGTAGTAATCCTGGGAAAAGATGCTGCTGATTTTGACTGGGGAGTCTCAGTGGTTAGCGACTAGTTGAATTTGGGGTATATTTTAGACTGATGGCCTAGGTGTGGGAATCAAGGATGGCTCTTATGTTTTTAGCCTTTGTTATTTTATTAGGTGGATAATGGTACATACCCTTTACTGAGATGAGGAAGGATTCTAGGGAAAGAGATCTGGGGAGAAAACTCCACTGTTCTGTTTTGGTTAAGTCTGAGAGGACTATTAGACATCTCGGCGGATATGCCAAGAGGGTGGTTGCCTAGTGTACAATGGAAGGAAATCAGGATGGAAATATAAATTTAACTCATCAGTGTTTAGATGGTATTTAAAGCTACCGAACAGATGAGATCATCTAAGAAGGTATAGCTAAGAGAAGGGATGAAGGCCTTACTTGTAGTCCAGGTTATGGCTTGCGGAGTCTACCCTAAGAGCAATAGGAAGGCACTGAAGCGTATAATAAAGAAATGACCACACAGATGTGAGTTAAAGCAGACATATTTATATATCTGGCTGTAATGTGGGAAATAACCCCGGACAAGAGCAGATAAAAAAGGACCAGGACCAGCCTGTGGTTCAAGGCGGAAGCTAGTAAGTAGCCTGGTCTCGTCACTGGTGTGGAAGACGCCTAGGAAGTTGTCTAGCTACGACTGGGTGAACTGGTGGGGGGAGGCGGAGAGAACAAAGATGATTCCTAGTTGCTTGAGCAACTTATTGAAGAGAAAAAAAGTGCCACTTCCTGGAAAAGGCAGCCTTAGAAAGTCAGTTTTTGAGGGGACGAGGTGAAGTCCTTACTGGGCCATGCTCAATTCCCAGGTGCCCGTTTTGAGATCGCCAGAGAGAGATTTCAGGTAGCCTGCTGGGGTACTGTGGTAGGTCGGCTACCTGCGGATGTGCAGAGGAAGGAACGAAAGTTCGGAAAAGCCAAGGATGTACAGCAAGGTATGCCCGCTTGAATCTTTCCACTTTCTCAGATGCCAAGATTCAAAACCCGGAGGCGCTGAACACAGAAGTCTCACTGAGGGCCATGACTCAGATCTCTACCTCCGAGGTTCAGTCAGGCATTCGAAGGCAGAAACTCACTGAGATCGCTAAGACATGATGTGACAAGAAATGTCTCAATGGGACAAGTCTTGTTTTCATGGCAACCGCGAAGCCGGGGTCAGAGGGAGGCTGCAGGCCAGAGCGCACGCTTTCCTTCCGGGGAGGGTGGTGTTCCAAGCGGGGCGGGGGGGGCGGGGGGGGCACAGAAGCAGCTCCGGGCTCCGCGCCGCTCAGCCGGGGAGGCGGGTCTGCGCCTGGCGCCGCACAGGCCGCCGCCGCGCCGCTCCCCGGCCCTCCCTCGCACCCTCGCGGCCCGCAAGGGGCTGTAACTCTCGCGGGCAGCTGCGGAGGCAGGGGCTGTAACTCTCCGTCGGGGGCAGCTGCGGCGCCGGGGCTGTAACTCTCCCTCGGAAAACTAAGGCAACGAAGCGCCGAACTCAGGGGAGCACCAGGCCGCTGTGGGCCGTTACCTCAGGCCCAAGAACTTCCCGGGGGCCGGCGGGCTCTTACACAGGGTTCTTCGCGCCTCATAAAAGTGGCCTTGGCCGAAGCTGCCACTAGAGTGCGCCCGGAAAAGGAGCTGGCGTCGACTGCGCACGAAGCGCGGCTCCCGAACTCACTCAGCCTCTCGCCCGCGTTTTGGCTCTTGCCGCGCGCCCGCCAGGCGTTCTGCGCGCGCGCAGCTGCGCTCCTCACACCCCACCCCACTCCCCCACTGCCGGCCGGGCGTTCTGCATATGCGCAAACGCGCTTCCTGGCCTCGCCCAGTTGGCGCGCGCTCTGAGGCTTGGCCACGATGTGCGCGTGCGCGGCGCGGCTACACCGCCCACCCGTAGGGCGAAGCCGAGGCTGGGAGTGGCCGATGGCCCCACCCGCTGGAATACAGGCCCCCGGCGCCTTTTTGTCACTACGTCGCCTGTCCACCGATTGTTCATTTAGCGCACATTCCGTCCTTGCCGTGGTCCGGTGGGTAGCTGTCTACTGCAGAAATCCTACTACGTGTCGAACATCGTGCAGGCACTTTCCGTACTCGCTCTCCTTTGATCCTGACCACCGTGTTGTAAGGCAGTTATTAATATCCTAATTTTATTTTATTTTATTAAAAGATTTTATTTATTTATTTGAGAGAGAGAGAGAGAGAGAGAGCGCACATGAAAGGGGGAGGGTCAGAGGGAGAAGCGGGCTCCCTGCTGAGCAGGGAGCCCGATGCGGCACTCGATCTTGGAACTCCAGGATCATGACCTGAGCCGAAGGCAGTCACTTAACCAACTGAGCCACTCAGGTGCCCCAGAAACCCAGGGGATTCTAACCAAAAAGTCTTATTACAACCCCAAATGACCAAACATCCCACTTCCTGTCATCTACAATTACGGGGTGTCAAGTGAAATAAAAGGAACACACAAACACTTAGAATGAGTAAGATGGAACTGAAGTGTCTCCTAGCAGACACAAACACACACACTGCTGATGAGGCATGAGAGCAGCACCTGGCGAACCGGAGGTGGCTTTCCAGCCCATGTGGTCCACTTTATTTCCTTCCTGTTTGAGGAGGGCACCAGACCCGTGTTGGGCACTATCTTTTGTGATGAGGCCAGGCTGCTTCCACTGGTACTCTGACTGAGGTCCATAATGGGATGCAGCCAAAGGGAGGAATTCTTACCTGAGATAACAGGAGACCCTTGGGCCAGAAAAGGGGCAGAGCCAACACCTGAGCAGGAATGTTAGGTGCCAAAATTCCAGGAAGGAACTTAGAGCAAGTGACATTATTGGAGAATTGAGCTGTGGTGAGCATTTCAGTTAAGAGGGTGGATTCAGGAATTTGGAGCCAGTCCGAAAAAGGGATAACAAATATTTACTCAATCAACAGATATTTATTTGAATAACTATAAGCACTATTCTAGCCCTTTGGTGATGCTGAGGTGAAGAAGACAAAATTAACTGTCATTATGGAGATGACCCTGATCAAACTAGAGGAGAGGACGGTAGCTTGCTATCATGAGCCAACCAAGAGGTCTGTGTGACCCACTGACCTTACCTAAAGAGATAGAGGTGACACAGACACTGGCCACTGCACACAAGACAGTGGGAGGGGCACCACTTGTGGGCCTGAGGACTGGCTTGTCCTTTGGGATTCTTTTTTACTTGAAACTGGTATTACATTTTTTATTAATTTTTAATTTTTTAAAAAAGATTTTATTTATTATTTATTCATTTGAGACAGAAAGACAAAGTGAGCATGAGCAGGGGGAGAGGCAGAGGTAGAGGGAGAAGCAGACTCCCTGCTGAGCTAGGGAGCCCTGGGGCTCAATCCCAAGACCCCGAGATCATGACCTGAGCTGAAGGCAGATACAACCATCTGAGCCACCCAGGCACCCCAAAACTGGTATTACATTTTTTTTAATTACATGTAGTACAATTCACTGTTTTTGGTGTATACGTCTATGATTTTTTTTTTAACATATGCATAGATTCAAGGATAGATCAGAATAGAGAACAGTTTTGTCACTCCAAAAAATTACTTCAGGTTACCCCTTTGTGGTCAAACCCTCCTCCCACCCTCAACCACTGGCAGCCTGTTCTCCACTCCTAGTTTGGCCTTTTCCAGTGTGTCATGTCAATGGATTCATACAGTATGTAGCCTTTTGGAATTGGATTCTTTCTCTGAGTGATAAATTTAGATTTATCCATATTGTGTATATCCATAGCTCATTCCTTTTTATTGCCGAAAACTATCCTATTGTATGGATATTCCACCACTTTTTTATTATTTGCCTATGGATGGACATTTGCATTATTTTCCATTTTTGGCAATTTTTTTAAAGATTTTATTTATTTATTCATGAGAGACGGAGAGAGAGGCAGAGGGAGAAGCAGGCTCCCAAGGAGCAGGGAGCCCGATGCGGGACTCGATCCCAGTACCCTGGGATCATGACCTGAGCCGAAGGCAGACCCTTAACCATCTGAGCCACCCAGTCGCCCTTTGGCAATTTTTTTTTAAGATTTTATTTATTTATTTGTCAGAGAGAGAGAGAGCGAGAGAGCACACAAGCAGCGGGAGCAGCAAGCAGAGGGAGAAGCAGGCTCCCCACTGAGCAGAGAGCGAGATGCAGGACTCCATCCCAGGACCCTGGGATCATGACCTGAGCTGAAGGCAGATGCCAAACCGACTGAGCCACCCAGGTGCCCCCATTTTTGGCAATTTTGAATAGAGCTTCTATAAGGATCGACATCCCAGTTGTTGTCTGAACTTAAGTCTTCCTATTTGTCAAGTAGATACCTAGAATGGGGACCGCTGGGTTGTACTGCAAGTGTACGTTTGACTTTATTAGAAACTACCAACTGTTTTCCAGAGTGGCTGTATCGGTTTGCATTCTTACCCACAGAGTATGAGAGTTTCGGTTGCTGTACATCCTTGTTGGCACTTGGTGTTTTCAGTTTTAATTTGGGGGGGCATTCCGATAGATGTTAATGGTATCTAGTTGTAGATCTAATTAGCCTTTCCCTCATGACTAATGATGTTGAGCGTCCTTTCATGTGCTCTTGAGATTCTTGAGAATTAATAAACCCATACCCCAACTCAGAAACCAACCCACAGTGCTAAAGAGACTTCTGTGGATTCACGTTTGGCCCGACAGACTGGAACATTTTAGCAGCAATGCTCAGCAGATGACAATTGGATTCAAAGCACATATGCCAGGTCTGTCAAGCCAGCAAGCAGGCGGCAAGAGGCTCCTGGCTACTAAGCACTGTCTCCTCTGTTCCAGGCTTTAGGGAGAGAAAAACATTTCCTGCCTTTGCCTTCAGATGTCCTCCTTGTCAGATTCTACATCGTTCCTGCCATGGTTTTTCCCCTGGACCTCCTATTTAACATTCTCCCTTTCTTCTTTCCTTTGCTAAATAACTGTTTATTGAAAGCACACTGCGTGCCAGGCACTGCGCTAGGCTCTAGGGTCATAAAGTTGAAGAAGATGCTTACTCACAATAGGTTCTCATTCTAATGGGGGGATTAGCATAAAGCAGCTTTTAATTTTTTTTTAAGATTGTATTTATTTATCTGTGAGAGAGAGCGAGCGCACACAAGCAGGGGGAGAAGCAGGCTCCCTGCTGAGCAAGGAGCCCTACATGGGCCTCGATCTGAGGACCCTGGGATCATGACCTGAGCCAAAGGCAGACAGACACTTAACTGACTGAGCCACCCAGGCATCCCCCTAAAGGATGATTCTTAACCAGCCAGGAGTCAGGAGGGCTTCCTGGAAAAGGAAACACCTAAGAGGAGTCCTGAAGGATGGGTGGCTCTTGGGCTAAGAGACACAAAGAGGGCATTCCAGGCAGAGGGGACAGCCTGAACAAAGGCCGGGCAATAAGAAATAGCATGCTGTGTGTGCACTTCTGTGAGAAGCTCAGTTTTACTCAGATCTAGGGATGGAGGAGTGGAGTGGCAGGCGATGGAGTTAATGAAGGAGATGGGGCTGGATCATGGAGAAGCTTGCGCTGAGGCATTTGAATTTATCCCCAAAGCTATTAAAGTGCTTTTAAAAGCTAGGTTTTGGGGGCACCTGGGTGACTCAGATGGTTAAACATCTGCCTTAGGCTCAGGTCATGATCTCAGGGTCCTGCTCAGTGGGGAGCCTGCTTCTCCCTCTCCTTCTGCCCCTCTCCTCCCCACCTGTCCCCTCCGCTCCTGCTCTCTCTCTCAAATGAATAAATAAAATCTTTAAAATAAATAAATAAATGAAAGCAAGCTAGGTTTTGGTGGGGCACCTGGGTGGACGTGGTTACGCGTCCAGCTCTTGATTTCTGTTCAGGTCATGATCTCGGTGTCTTGAGATGAAGCCAGTATGGGATTCTATGCGTGGAGCCTGCTTAAGATTTTCTTTCTCCCTCTCTCTCTGCCCCCACCCCAGCCGCTTATGTGCTCTCTCTCTCTCTTAAAAAAATAATTAATTAATTAAAATAAAAGTTAGATGTTGGTTTTAGAAATGCCTTCCTTTTCTGCTCTGTTGATTCTAATTCATCCTTCAAGGCCCATCTCAAAGTCTACCTCTTCTTGGAAGTCCTCTCGGATCCCCCTAACCAGAAAGATTGGCTCCTTCCTGGGGCTCTTTGTCCTGCTTTGTACTGACTAATCAGTCTGCCTGGAGGGTGGGAACTATAATTTGTCCCACTTTGGGCTCCTCATGACACCTGACGCGGGGTCAACACAAAGAAGGTGCTAATGTTTGATGAATGTGAATGAATTTGCGAATGGAGAAAGTTTTCTGGGCAGCCCAGCTCTCCAATCTGATTAGACTAGTTCTCAAATTTAAACATGTGTCAGAGTGACCTAGAGGGTTTGTGGACTCTGGTCTTAGCCTCCAAGTTTCTGATTCATAGGTCTGGGAAGGAGAGGGGGCCTGAAAATGTGCATGTTGAACATGCAGAGTGAGTTCCCACGCGATCATGATGCTGCTGGTGAGGACCACACTCAGGGAACCTTTGATGTGGCTGTGGTTACAATTCAGGTGCTCCTCACAGCCAAGCTGTGGGCCAGGCATTATCAAGGGGCCCTCGTTGCTGCTGCTTATCACAACCATCTGACCACCTGACCCTTCAGAGCATCTCTTCCTGGGATTTCCTTAGTCTTGCCTTTGTCCCGCCCCTTGGAGCT